ATGATTGCAGGTTATGATAAGGTCGGCCCTTGTCTGTCCCCAACGAACTTTCATGATCGCGCTATCACACGTCGATATGAACCCTTCTACGCACTCTAACGGTTATATGGATTTCGCCTTCGTATCTCCTCATAAGCTGATCGGTGATCCTGGTAGCAGCGGCATATTGTTCAACAATAATTGTTGTGTAAGAAGAAACGCCTTCGTCTCATGCCTCCATTTTCCGGCCGGAAATGTTATGACCAATGTATATCTATCCTGGTACCTCGGAGCTTCCGACCTTTCCATGGAGATGTATTATTATTCTCTTTGTCGGTTGCATCCCATCCTGATATCCTCTAGACGTCAGTCTCACTCAAATATAACCCGAAATATCAGATTCCTCAACCCTTTCGAACTTGGTAACCGTGTTTGGTTCGACCAAACAAGCTCGCCACAAAATCGGTTGTGAAATTATCACAAGACGATAAACTTGATTCAACCAAGTTGTACGTGAATGTCACCTTAGATAATTCACCTCAGATACTTCGTTCAGAATAACCCATTCCAAACTGGTCACTCAGGATGCGAAGTTCCCGCTCTGCGCAGTACAATCTATGCCAATAAAGGAAGCAACAACTCGTCAAAAAAGGTGAAACTATTCCATCGAGCTATCTAGGCTTCTTACTTTCATCACTTCCGCTCCGTAGAAGCTAGCCGCTCAGCCCTACTATCATCACCTTCTCGCCCTCCTAGAGAACCTGCCATCAGCGTTAAAGTATATGTGAGACTCTCGGACTATAGCAACACCTCAGGCTTCCCATCTTCTCGCTTCTATGTGCTGCACATAATGTGCATCTTGTACGCCTACCCAAAGAAAACGCGTGTACTTCTCAACCTATCCACATGGGACACAAAGATACTTCGATGTCGAATCGACATTGTCGATCATATCATCATATCGATGCCCAAGCTTAATCAGCTAATCCGAATACGAGCGACGAGTAGCACTTCCTGTTGCTAGCACGCGAGTTAATCACACAGCATCGATGGCTGAGTGGGATATGTCCTTACTATATCTCTGCATTAGCAGAGGATCCTCTGCTGTCTGCGAATACACCGAGTTGGCCTAACCATTCCGCATCAGAACTAGGCGAGACTCTATAGAACTTCCATCATAGAAGAATGAAGATGTCAAATCGCCACCTGATAAGTTATCAGTTGATAACAAGACTAACATCATTCATAGTTGTTGTCATAACGAATTGTTGAGTCACATGGAGAAAATGATCGAATTATCGAGATCCGCAGAAACGCTTGGGATCGATCAAGTGAGTCTACCCCTCGTTGGCGATGCAAACTTGGTACCTTGATCGACCGCGATAGCACGTTTTGTGATTGTGCGTAGGGATAATATCAACTGTTGATATACCAAAAGTTGATACCAAAAAACTATACCAAAAGTTGATACCATGAGTTGATACCAAAAGTTGATAATACCAATGGATGATAATCAACTGAGTCGATTCGACTCCTCGGGGCCGCTATGCCAACCAACCAAAAACTCATACAATTAATGTAGTACATAATGTACATTGAATGTACCATCGTGATTCATCAGTAGAGCTATCATAACTCTCATCTCTGGAGTGATCAACTCGGATTACCTGGTAATGATTGAATCATTATCTTGATGTAACGGGCAATGCATACCAGCCGCGGAATGGCATATCTGCCCCAGAATACTATCAATTTGGTACTATTCACTGCGACCTTTGCCTAATGACCAATGGCTGATAGCCGCCGGTGCCGATCGATTAAAACTTCTAATTTAGAAGTGATTCTACTGGCCGCAGTGGGATCAATCACTTCTACCATCATCGAGTAAATAGAATTTCTACGGCCTACATTCCCAATGGAATCGATCATCCTATCTCGTACGTCTGTAAACTGCAAGCTCTGGCTGATGATAATCTCTCCACATGTCAAAGTATGCATGCAACTTTGCTTCTGCAGATCAGGCACATATATACATATCCCACCCAGCTGTCGAACACTACAGCACCCTCCCTCGGGCTATGAAACAAACCGTGATCTGCGAGAACGCATCAAACTGTGGGCAAAGCATGCCGCGGCATTGCCGCCTACACCGTCATGGCAGGTTTTCCACAGTTGAGCAGATCCGCAATTCTCCCAAACCAGATCACGGATAGAGGATGGCTCAGTGAGAGGATAGAGGATAGCCCAGTGAGAGGATAGAGGAAAGCCCAGTGAGAGGAAAGGGAAGGTCCTATACTACGTCACCTCTCTGCTATATATCCACGTACATAGGCACCAACCCGAACCACCATGTATGAGGTGGTCCATGTATATTCTAGCAATTTTGCATCTCCCAGCATTTCCGCTTCGCTTCATGCTTTCCCATGCAAGTTCAACAATTCGTATTTAGAACCCAACTTATAGTCTACAAGTGTACTTCAAGTCTACGGGTTGTAGACAACGCAGAGCTTGAATCTAAGAGTATACTTCCAGCGCACAGTGAATACGTGACGGTTCTGACGTATTATACGTCAGAACCGTGAATACGTCAGAAAAACCTACTCTCTTAAAGAGAGTCTCTTTTATGACTCATAAGCTATGAGTAGCGATCTTGCAACACTCTAGCGTAGTAGCTACATAGGTTGCACGTGCAATGCACAGGGTGAGTTGCTTACTGTAAGCTTACTGTAAGCTTACCGTAAGCTTATGTTACACGTGTAAGAAGCGATTCTGGAATCGATTCTGAGTTTCGGAATCAGTTCATTGGGGAAATGTAAGAGTAGATAAGTGTGCGCAAGATGGCACGGAAATAGACAAGTCTCGTGGTGGATAAGATGGTCTGTTCAGGACCGGTTGAGTGCGTCCTAGTTTCCCTCCACAACTCGTTACACGTTCGCATTCAATGTCAGCTATAATATACACCAAAGACATCGGTGAAGACATCAAGTAAGCCTGGTACACTCGATGGGAGAATCAATGATTCTTGAGCTTAAGGTATGGGAAATTTGCTGGAGTACCACGGCCTCAGCAACTAGAGCGATTCTGGCGGCGAAATTGGGAACTATCAGGGAAAGAAGCATCGGTGCACAAGGGCGTGTATGATCGAACGATTCGGCATTCACAGGAGCATGAACGCTGATGTACAGGTTTTGGACGTCCATGGACAAGTCGGGTGCGAAAATTATTGGATGCAGCCCTGAGGAAGTTGTGAGGTACGTTAGTTTTGGGTCATATACAGGAGGGTGGAAGGCGAATAAACGGCACGGCTATGGCACCAGAGAGTAGTGTCATGGTGTCAGAAATTAGTGTTAAAATTGCCAGCCAGATCCTATATGGTGGGATCGCGTTATGAAGGCGAGTGGAATCAAGGCATGCGGCATGGCCAAGGAACTCAGTGGGTTCGGTGTAGAAATGGCAGAGGTGTCCGGAAGTGAGTATTATGGTGTGGAAGGGTCCGATTGGGAATGGATCCTGCGTTACAGAGAATCGTGGCTACTTGCAATGCATATGATCCCGTTCGACTTCTACTTTTCGAATAGGTTCTATGCTGGATCGTGGGTTAACGATAGACGGGAAGGATACGGAACAGGGTGTTACGAGGACGGTTCTTTCTACCACGTACTCCCAGCCTTACTTAGTCGTGCTTTTTAACACCATCGGTCAGGGTAACTGGGTCAATGATGAGCGTGAAGGAGAGGGACTTATGTTCTTTGCCAACGGTGATACGTACCGTGGACAAGTACTACGCTTATTAAGTGCTTATCCATCATAGCTTGTCTCCTCAGTGGCGTCAAGGAAAGCGGTCTGGGCTCGGTATACTGGTAGTCGGTGAAACTGGAGACTTGTATGGATGTGCCGCCTCTCGTTTTGAAACCATATAGTTGTATTAGGTATGAAGGTCAATGGCTGAACGACAAAAAGGAAGGCTCTGGGCGTTACTACTATCGTTCGCGCAGGAAAGTAAGTATGTCGCGCTGAACAAGTAGGGACCGTTGTCTTAGGTGATGGTAGGAGAATGGGCTGAAGACATGTGTAGAACGGGGTCAGTGTCAGCTTACGAAGATCCTATCGGATGTGAGTTGAGTCTAGGCCGATTCCAAAGGCCGCAGTACTTGCCGCTAAAAAAGCTTATCTCTCTATTAGTGGACATCCCGACTCTCCGGCTGAAGGATATAGATGGTCTCTTACGAAGCAAGATGGAAGAGATCAGATCGGAAAGATTCGTGAGATTTCAATGCTACTGCTGCTGATGTCGATCACGACCAGTGACCACCATTCCTTCAGCTCTTCCGAGTACTCAACACTCCACTTCCTGACTTGTTCGACTCCGATGATCTCACACATATCCGTGATGTCCATGCGGCGGCAGTGAGCAGTAAGTCAATACCACTCCACGAGGATCCGCCATGACCAGGGCCTCTCAGACTCCCAGGACGGCATACTAAGCCTTGTCTCATTGAAGGCCCTTGTGCTGTCCCTTTTCGGCGTGCAGTTCTCACCCGAGGACCTCTGGGAGCTATGCGTCACTGTGGGTGTCATCACTGAGGAGGAGGCTCAACGAGGTAATGCTTTAATATTCACATACCACTCCATTGCTTCATCGTGGCATCCACGAGCGACGCTCAAAATGCACCATATTAGTAAGCGCAACAGGGATATGACCGTATTTGTTTCAGCCGTTGTGTTAACGGAAACCGAGTTGAAAGCACCACCGGAATCCTCCCTCCCCAACGACAATAGGGAAGTCATCGAACACGTCATAGATAGCCTGACCGATGACGAGGACGATGAGGAAGAGGACGAGGATGCAACCACAGAGTTGCGCGAACAAATAGCATATCGCCATTTCATCATACCAAGCAGCGCCTTTACACTTGATCGTTTTGCCAGGTGGGTAGTCCATCACAGAGATATGGCTGACTTCCCTCCTCAGGATCGTTACACTCATACTGGCCAAGCTGAATCACTAGTCCGTAGGCTCTGGCAGGTGTTCGTAAGGATATTCATATCGGTAGTTCGTTCAGTAGATGGACATCACGAGGCGATACTCTTCCTTCAGACTAACGCATGGAGTCGAACATTCATATCCACATGCACCCAATGTGGGAAAAGTTGTATTAGTTCGCGCGATAGGCATTGGATGTTGAGTTAGATTGTTGCGTTGTAAGACAATCCCTCACAAGACTACTGTTACCGGTCTGCAGTCTATTAGTTATAGATGAGCTTCTTCTATGGAGACAACATGAAATGATTTACAATAGAACGCAAACCTAAAGTATCTTCCCGCAGTTTATGGTAAATGGTCGGCACTAATCAAAGAAGCCTATCAGCCAAACAGCGCTACTGCTAGTTAACGATAAGAATGTCGTTTACGTGGTATACCATTGATCTGTGAACACCACCGCAGCTGCCTACGACTACTTAGAAGAGGGCAGCAGCCAGTTCGGGAGGAATACCGCCTTCTTTGTACATTGTCTCGAAATTTTGGTAGATCGTGGTAACGGCCAGGACTATACCTGAAATTGGGAAGACGGAGTTCAACAGAGGAATGATGCTGTGAATATGGCTTATCACCTGCACCGCTGCCAACAGCTCCCAGGATCTCGCCAGTCACTGCGATCGCCCCGACTACAACACCTCCCACGACAGCACAAGGAGTGATGTATTTGTCGAGTACCTTTATAAAAAACATATTGCAAAGCAAGAGGGAATGGGCTTACTGAAATGACAGTGGAATCTCTGTAACCGCGCATGGTCATCTGCTGGTCCTTAAGTTGACGAGCGATGTCCCTAGCAGCGGTTCCTGATACCTAAAAACGACAGATGATGGGATGGAACACACGACCTTTAGATGTGTAGTTGAATATGCAACCAACTGCACTAAACCATTCTGTCACAAGTTTGCGTACGTTGAGCCACATTCTTGAAGCGATACCGCACGCGATCGGTACAGAGCAGGCGAATACTATCAGATTGACGGGGTCGGTGAATATCGATACGGTAGATTGGGGAGGGGAGAGGTAGTAAGCCAGTCCGGCAGTCTGAGGAAATAATTCATTCACTCATGAATGGAGTAGCGTCGTTGGTACCGGTCGAGCAAGGCCTGTAAACTCACTGTACTCCCATCTACCCAGGATTCCGATGACCTTCAGCTCAGGGAATCTGATACGGAAAAAAATGGAGGCACCAGGAATCGAACTTGGGACCTACATAGAATAAAGAACCTGGGATATCAGATAGGCATTGGCCATGAAGGCGGCGTAGATGATGATGGGCATACCACCGGTATAGAAGAGCTTAATGGGATACATACCGGCATGGGACCTTGCTTTGACGTGTTTCACAGGGAGCTCCACTCGGAACACCTACCAACGATAGAGCATCATTCATTGAAGCTTCTTATGGGAACGGAAGTGTTTACCTGGAAATAATTGACCAAGACGAAGATGAACACTGTCGCCAAGAGAGTGATGATATTGCCTCCCGCACCAGTACGGAACATGGCCTCTTTGAGACCACTGACACCGTCTCGAAAGGAGAGCTGGAACAAGGCCAGCAAAGCACCTTCCTTCTCAGGGCCACGACCAACATCGATAGTCTTGAACGACAGACCGCTCGACAAGATCTGTTCGCACACACTCATGGCGATGAATGTGTTAATACCAGTGGCACTGAGGAGAAGGCACTGTGTTGTGCTGGGAAGGGTCGCTGATATGCTACCCGAAGCCGTATCCCTTCTGGAGGAGCTCATCCATAGTCATCACAGCGATGCTTGAGGTCACCATCTGGGCAACTAGGAAGAGGGCCTTAAGGCTGCCTGTAGCAGAAGTCACGAATTGAACGACATTGGTATGTACTACCGATGACCGAAATAGGTCCAAAGGCACCGGCGATGACAAGCAGGGAAGCTTGAACCAATGCAACGAGGACCACAATGACCTTCTGAGCACCTGAGTAGGCGATTAAGATGATGTAAATATGCACGTTGGCTTCACCTTGGAACAGGGCGCGGTCCTCTTTCCGGCTGAGATCCGCTGAGATGAGCCTAGAACCGTAAAGGAACTGCATCAGCATACCGGCGGTTAGTATAGGAGCCACACCTGTCATGACGAGTCCGATTAGACCGATACCATGCTTTATGGCCTACCCAGCTCCCTCAGTGTACCCTGTTGGCTGCCCATCAACGTTCTCAGCCAGTAGAAGGGGTCAACAGTGGATCCTTTCTCGACCCCGTACAATCGAATTTCCCCCAACACCATGAACATGAATAGGCAAGTAGCAGTCCATACCATCTGAAGAGTTAACAAAAGCATATCATTGAATCATCGAGGACCAGGAGAATTACTCTTTCGTTGAAGGGAATTCTCCTATCGGGAGTGGTAGTCTCCGGCAGGAGCCTCATAGCGGGCCGAAAGACATCCAAGAACCGCATTCCGGATGAAAAATAAACTGACGATTGCAGCAAGCTCTACCATGAGCAGTTTCTATATCCTTAGAATATCATGCGTACGAGGACTCCGCTACGATACACCAGCGAGGCAATTCAGCCAAGGCGACTCTTTAGGGCTTCTGACGTGGTGCTAATATTGCGGCAAGGCCCGACCCAACTGAACGCATGCAAAGTTAGATAATCTGCGATGGATGAGATCATAGTCACTATGGTCAACCAAGTCCTTCCAGTAGGACTTCAAGGCCATATGGAATTCCTCTACTCCTGCTCGCAGCTAGCCAGGTATTCAGCTATTTACTTATCCCCCTACCAAGTCTTCCATCCGGTCGTTCTCGGCCAAGTGAATGGAATTCTATGACAGACCCGGCGCCAGCACTTCCGGTTCGGAAATTCCAAGAACCTCTTGAATGTCACGCGCGGTGACTCGAGGTTGAGACTGTGCCTCGGGGGACATACCGATGGAGGCTCTAGGTCTAAGCAATAGCGAGAAGGATGCTGAAAGTCTACCATCGATAATTATATCTCATTCAACAACGGTCCTGTAGCTCAGTGGTTAGAGCGACGGTCTTATGAGCCGTAGGCCGCGGGTTCGACCCCCGCCGGGACTATATATTCTTCTCGAAGAAACCTTCATTTGCAAACACTTTCAACCTGTCACTGGCCACGGAGGCATTATCTACGTGATTATGACGTATCGTGGAGATCCCCACCAACGCTTTTCTCCTTCGCTCAGTCTAGTTGCCCCCGCTTGATGGCTGCGTCATCATCTTCGTCTGGAGTTCGAAACTCTCTAATCAAAAAGCTGGACAACTTCGAGGCTCAGCTGTCGAGTTTGGAGGACCATCTGAAACCATTGATGGATACCGACTATGAGGAGCTCATGTCGAAGATGACACGTAATAGGTGCCACTGAGGGATAGGAAAATTCGAATTTGACTGACGTGGCAATATCAATTTCACAACGTGGGGTCACGGATGATGTAGTGGGCCTCCACACTCTTCGGAGTAACTATATTCGGGGTACAGAAGCGAAGGTATCCCAAGGTGAGCACCTCAGAGGTTTTTTTTTGCTCAGCATTGGAGCAGAGCGAGTTAAATGTTTCGCTCGCTTTCACCACGGCCTCGCTTTACTGGATGTTCCTCAAGACGCAAGGCACTGATGTGAAGACGCATAAAATCAAGGACGAAATCGTACGATCAACCACGGAACTCATCAGTTCAATTTATGGTATCCTCAGGAGCGGGTCAAGTCCTACATGGCACGTTTAAAGAAGGCTTCGGAACAGGAGGATGCAAAAAGTAATAATAGTGGAGTCGACGGAGAGCGCAATATTCTGCTCATGTCACTTGGCTGCCTCAGTGTGTGTCTTAATTTTTGTATTACTGTTTCTGGGATGGTTTGTTGTTCATCAGCTCGCAAGCGTGATGTAGTCTTGAACAAGGATGCTGCCGAACGCATTGTAAAGGCCCACACTACTGAGTCAACAGTCCGGACTAGTGGCAAACGGAGAGCTGAGGAGAGCAGCCAGGAGGAGGGGCCCAAGACAGACTCGGAAGAACGGACCAAAAGGAGCAAGAAAAGTGTGTGACTACGATGACGCTGGTCCCCTACGTCGATTACGGTCGAGAAATCACCCGTTACTGTGGGTTGCTGTTTTCGATCTACCGTCCATGGGCGTTATATTAAGTCTAAATCAATGTGGCACGGGAGAGGTATAACATTGTGATTTTTTTCAGTGTCAGTCTGATTATGTCCGATTCGAACAGTAATGAGAGTGTGAACCTGCCAATGTTAATGGCTGCAGTCGGAATGATAGTGGCTATCATCATGCTCCTCCTATGTGTGTGTTGGAGGGTTCATAAGGTGGTACACGAAGATCTGCCACTACTTCTGCCACTGAGCTGATCTCAGTACGTTGTTCGGAGAGGGCGACTTGAGTCTGTCCGTTGCCATGTATGCTGGGTTGAGGTCGAAGTGCCTCGTGACGACAACCATTCCGAGGATGATGGAGGAGTCTTGAGGATATTCGTCTGCCGGTACTACACTGTTCAGTGTATGCTATTCTCATGGGCACGTACAGAGCGTGCATGCTCGCTAATAGTGGCAGCGACTTGCTCCTCAACGAAGAGGCTCCGACAGGGGAGGCGGAGACGGGCGAGTCGTCAGAGATTGACATCATCGATGGTAGGAAGCCTCGAGTCAAGCATAGAGAGTCTATGGAAACTTTTCTTTCTGTTTTTCACGAATAACGTTTCCTCAGTCGCGCCCAAGTCATCTCGACTTGAGATAGCCCTACAGCAGAATGAAGGGCGACTGTTCAAGCTGAGGAAGATCACCACCAATTTCTTCAGGTAGTTGACCCATGGTTTATTATCCCGGGCTCTACCTATGTGACTATTCAGAATGAAGACTGTGACCTCGGTGGCCACACCTAAGACGGAGCGGTCTAAGCTCGGGCCTGGCGATCGAAATAGCTACAGTAGTAGCAGTCGAAAGTCGCTAGCGGCCAGTGCGTGTAAAAGCCCGATGCTGGGCGTGTGTACGGTGTGCTTTGAGGAGGCGGACACCAGACTGGTAGTGATGAGGGCAGAGATGGATGTGCTGGGATTCGAACCTGGGTCTCTTGATAGGCATTTCTACCGTGTGGTCACAGTGGTATCTGTTTGGACTGCATGCGGGATATTTTGAGGTCCTTGAAAGGAGAGTGCCACGTGTGTCGAAGGGACATAGAGGCCGTGGTGAAGATCATGAAGAGGAGCCCTGGAACGTACTGTGGTCATTTCAGTCATCGCCGTTCAATGAACAGTGTTCATACCCTCTCTTTCTCAACTGCCATCAGATTTGGAGATATTCAGGTCTAGCAAGAGTTCTCGGCAGCAAGACTCGACAGCTCGGAATACTGTAGAACTTGGAGGAGGGCTGCGCACTGCGGGGCGGCGGAGGACTTCAGACGACGAGTGATAAGGCACACGTTGAATGCTAGGTTACTTACACTGCGTCCCTCCGTATGTATATCATGGTTGACCATCATGAGTGGTCGAAACTCTTCGTTGGTCGTAGGCTAATTTTGATAGGTACATTGGCTCGGCACTCTCTGTATGGGACTGTGAGCTGGCACCACGCCCATTGAATTGGTCTGATGATCACCCAGGCGCTGGCAGCGGGGCATCGCAATGGTCACTACGGTCCTTTCCTAGACTAGATATTGACGGAGAGGTCCCACCAAGTAATAAGATACTACCATCTCTTTGAGTCTCGATGGGCTGTATTATCAACAACTGTTATTTCTCGTTGAAAAACATTCAGTGATTGATACAACTGGAGAGGCATAGCTGGTCTCGCTACGGTATCTCGCGTGTACTAAGGAATTCTCAGTAGCCTGTAGTAACTTTGTATGTGTAACTTCTCAGGACCTATGGGGACTCCGATAATCTCTCGAGGGACTCCAGCATCATCCCTCACGTATTCGCCGTCGCTTAGAGTAGCGCAAGACGGGTCGAGCCGTAGGGGCAGTGTAGCCGAGCAGTCAGCGGTTGGTGTTGCCTTGCGGAGTCACCTCGAAGGCAGAGGTTCGATCACCAGCGAGGCACTTTAATGTCCTTTCCCTATTTTGCATGCATTTTCATAAACCCATCGATATCGACTCGCTAGCTATAAGAGCTGCTTATCTTCTCTGTCGAAGTGCAGGACTGCACCACTTCCGTTTTTGCTAACTGTAGGTATGTGAACTATGTATGTTCTTTCTGCTCTAGTGTCAGAAGCATGACCTCTCGTCGTTCTCATGGAGATATGTTCAAGTTGTGTTGGTGTGAACTCTTTCGCAGGGCAGATCGAGAAATGAAGTTATTTTAGTGGTTCCATTTCAACCTCGATCATGTATCCAATCCCTAGCATCCTTTCTGGTGCCAACATCATTGGGTTCTGGTTCCCGGTCTGTCCAGCAGAGCCTCCACGGTAATCGGAGCTGCAACTCGCTAAGTCTACGACGGAGGGCCTCTGTCGGAGGCTGCACAGGATGCGCGATACATCTGTGGAGGAAAGCTGCACGCGGTACGAATGCCGGACATTGTGACTCCCTATGGTCGCTTGGAGGGTTCAGCTTTCTGACCTTCGTCGGGGCAGATCGGCCGAGAATGTCTAAAACCGAATCCGACGTATTCTCTATCAGTATGGCAAGGCGTGGGAGAAATGCGTGATCGCCTCTGCCCGAGCTGTTCGCCCACTCCGCTTCACCTCTCCATCATATCGGACGCGGAGAGGAAACGGCACCGGGGAAGGAGATATGGCATTTGCACGGTTTTATGTCCCAACAAGACCTTTGTTTCTGGTCTCGTGAATCTTCGGAATACGAGGGCTTATATGGGTGCGACAGTGGTTGTTTAGCATGGGCTAATGACGGAGTAAATCAGCTGTCAGCTGAGAATGCTGGTCCAGTGGAATTGATTATACTGAGACATATCTTGAGGCGGTGGCATAGGCGCCCCTCCCGATGTGAATAATTATACTGAGGCATATCTTCAGCCAGTGGCATAGGCGTCCCGCCTGATCCAATCGAATGTACTTAGGTATATCTCAAGGCGGTGGCATAGGCGCCCCGCCCATTGGAATTGAAAATACTGAGGCACCTCTTAGAGCAGTGGCATAGGCGCCCCGCTCATTGGAATTGAAAATACTGAGGCATCTCCTAGAGCGGTGGCATAGGCGCCCCGCTCATTGGAATTGGAAATACTGAGGCATCTCTTAGAGCAGTGGCATAGGCGCCCCGCTCATTGGAATTGAAAATACTGAGGCATCTCTTAGAGCAGTGGCATAGGCGCCCCGCCCATTAGAATTGAAAATACTGAGGCATCTCTTAGAGCAGTGGCATAGGCGCCCCGCCCATTAGAATTGAAAATACTGAGGCATCTCTTAGAGCAGTGGCATGGGCGCCCCGCTCATTGGAATTGAAAATACTGAGGCATCTCTTAGAGCAGTGGCATAGGCGCCCCGCTCATTGGAATTGAAAATACTGAGGCATCTCTTAGAGCAGTGGCATAGGCGCCCCGCCCATTAGAATTGAAAATACTGAGGCATCTCTTAGAGCAGTGGCATAGGCGCCCCGCCCATTAGAATTGAAAATACTGAGGCATCTCTTAGAGCAGTGGCATGGGCGCCCCGCTCATTGGAATTGAAAATACTGAGGCATCTCTTAAGGCAGTGGCATAGGCGCCCCGCCCATTGGAATTGAAAGCGAAATAAGTCTCTAGAAGGTGTAATCCCAAACTACCATGGTCAAATTTGCCATGGTTGTTTGCCACAGGCTGGGTTGGGAACGGCTCCTCCGGGAGGGAAAGGAAGTATATCGCTGATGGGGGTGGCCGAGGGGGAGGAGGAGGAGGTGGTCGATGAACACAGTGTTGGGGGAATATATGTTCGCAAACCTCAGCAGAGCTCAGGAGTTTCCTCACTAATTATACAGGTTTGATTACAAATTCGGGTAGAAGTGTACAGAAACCAATGAGAATTGTCTCAATTTTCCTCGGAATTTCCACAGATGTCACCTACACATATAGTTGAGCATGTGCATATATTCTCACACCGGCTAAACAAGCCAACTCAATGGGTTGAACCGATCCTTGTTGAGCTATTGTGTTTCACTACTGGTCCAACAAATATGACACCGACGGGGTGTCGAGCTTGGCATGGCTTCTAATTCTGCACCTTCAAGTACAACTCGGAGATTTTTCGAACAGGCGTTGACGACTTTTGGGGGGTGGCATGTTCTGAGTGACGTTCTCCAAGTAATAATTTCTTTTCGTCTTTATCTGCGTTTATTACTGATCTCTCTTGCGGTATTAATGTTCTTCACGCTTGAATGGCTCCTTTCACTTTGAGGGATTACTTGAGAAACACCATCAAGACTTCTACCCATCTGGAAAGGCATGGTTGCGTTGTCGTAGTAATTCAGGGTCACGAGTCCTGGCACTCCACCAAGAATACGCCCTCCACACGCCAAACGTGATGAAATACTGAACGGTTGTGCACTGCCAAGCTCAACTCCGCTTCAGTGGCTAGCAACAGTTGGATCGATCTATAATTAACCATATTAGAGGTTCTGTATCGCCGTCGCATCCAGTGCAGCTTCTACTGTACAGCTTGTGTCGCAAAGTCCCCAACATTCGGAGACCAGTGATGCGCTGACTCCAACCAGATGCATATTATAGCACCCCGTACCTTCCATGTTGAGGTCTACGAGTACACCGCTCCGTTCGCCTTGGCGTTTAGACCATGGATGTATCAAACACGAGCGTGCTGCTGATGAACCTTCATCAGTGAACGCAACTCCAGAGACGTTCGGCCCCTTAATGCATCATCGAGGATGATCCATCTATTGTCTCAACACAATAGCCGAAAACTGAAAAGTGTTTGTGCATTGCTATGGCGTTCACATCCATGATAATGATCGGAAAATCTGTGTCAATTAGAGATGCCGCTTGATTCACTCATCCTAGGGTCAGGTTGCTGCAGCCTCCAGGCGGTGCTTGGACCTAGCACAACAACACATTCGAACAAGCTCTCAGGCTAGGAGTCTACTTTCGTCATTCTTCTATTGGTGATGAGATTACCACCATTCTGATTGGAGTCCTTCGCATAGGTATTGCTAGACAGATTGCTCTGATCGGTGCATGGGCCTCCAGGAGGAACATCTAAAGATGAATGAGACCGTGGCGGCTTACCCACCCATAGCGCATTCTGCTGTGGCATGCGTGTCAAGATGGGGCTCGACTCACTCGTAAATTTATTTCCGGTCTCTCCCTTATCTCCACCGAACATAGCTCCTAACATATTATGTTTCCCAGTTGACTGATCTTCTTCTCTCGCATAGCTCACCAATCGAGAATGACTCTTTCCCACCCGGAGGTGCATGCACCTTAGTCATCGGTCTGCCGGTAATCGAGTTGGCACCATTCGGGTCACTCTTAGAGGCGAAACAGTTGGAGGAGATCCTTACACAAACAGGTATCGTTAGGTGAACCAACGTGGTCCTACTTCTCCGGTACTGCGGTCGGCTCATGAGACAGGTTGAGAGACGAAGCTCCACCTGAAGGGCCGATGGTCAAGACAGTTGATAATACTCAGACTTCACCTGGCGCATGATGGACTCGGGTACTGCTGCGCTTAGTCATGGCCGAACCTAACAACAACAAGACACTGCGCTAGAGAGTACTGTTACCATACCTTCTTGGCACAGGAGATGACCAGCTGGGGCGGTAGGCCTAGGTTCCTCGACGGCGAATGGACAGGATTGAGTGGTCATTGGGAGTTCAGTAGACAAGACTACACAAATTCCTATTTGGCGGATATGGTGACCATTTGGTATTTATAAGATTATGCACCAGATAAATATCCTTACTCGCGTATGTGCAACAGTGTTGGAATATATGATAGCTTTCTTCAGCTGATCTCAGGAGTTTCCTCATTCACTTCAGAAGCGTACACGCTAATAAGGTTTCTTACTATCGTGTGGAGTTACGCTGCCCTTCAGTGATGACTCATCAACACTCTAACCCGCAGTTGATGTCCTTGTCCGTGGAATTGTATTCCTTCATCATGAAACAGATTCATTTTTCCGCGAAATCGATCTCACTATCCGACCCTCGCCGCTAAACTGATGTCCCTATCCACGAATGTGATCTCCTTATTAGCTAAATTGGCAGATTTACCTGCCAAGGTGTAGAGTATGAAGATGAGCTCCGCCAAATCTCAAACTCGTTCGCAATGAGACGCAACGGAGCACGCGCCGTAAAATATAGCGCCCGCCCTGAGACACTAATGTGCTGTTCTGCTGTGCAGACAGCGCTGCTAGTCGTATTATACGAGTCACAAGTGAAACGTTCATCAACCTTAACCAATCAAACAAATAAACTGACTCTAGGGCTGAGTTCCACTGCTAAGTTAGATCAGTTTTATAGGTTGTTCCCTGGAGTTTCGGGAACATACTGTACTCAATCGAATTTGTCTATCGTCTATGTCTACTCAATTTAAGGATAATTGCATGAGTCTAGCTTGCATTGTATTAAGATGTAGTCGTCGGGAATGAGTGCAGATAACCGATCGAACGCTCGTGCTTTGCCTCATCATTCTCTAGGGCCTTCTACACCACCATCTATTCACAACTCTCACTACTCAACTTCCGGTCTCTAAAGTCGTTCAAGCAGTCAATTCTCGTGGCCCGAAAACTGTCTAGACTGTCACTGATAATAATCGTCCTGACTTGCACAAAAAACGTCGGGGACCTTGTCTCGTGACTCAGAGAGAACCGCCCAAGTCGTTACTCTCGTGTTCGCAGTTGAATTACGCAAACTTCTTGTAGGATATTCTCTTGCAGAATCATGAGGCTAACAGCGTTGGGACCCTTATTAGCCAGTCTCGTGACAGCGAGTCAGCGAGGTGAAGTCACTCATCCCATTGATGCAACTCACACCTGTGTTAGGTACGCCAACAGGAGAGAGCGACATATGTCATCAAGGGGAGCCTTTTACCAAGGTTCGTGATAGGTTCTCGTCCTCAATGATTCTTCTCGTTGTATCAGGAAGATATCACAACTGTCGTTGGAAAGTATGACAAGCTATGTATTCTTCGACCTGAGGAGCATAATCTCGATCAAATTCGAGTTCGCATTGACCCTAAGGGGTTCGTGAGCTTGGAATTTTCGTCGTGTCCTATGAGAAAAGGACTTGAGGATTCCGAAGTCTAGTGAGTCCAATATCATTCCTAGTAGTCCGAACCAGGCATGCCAATTGTCTTCAGTCGATGCCCTGAATCGTTGCTGCTACATTATGAAGACCGAGCATATGCCATCCCCAGATGCATGATTCTTGATCCGAGTAACCTCGCTATCGGCCCTGTCCGGCGCTTCAACATTCAAAGACCCCGTGTTAAAGCCACCGACGACCCCTGGTGGGATGGACGCTTCCGGTCTAAAAGTGCTGATGAATTGGATGCTCCCATTGGTAGCCTCACAGGGTCGAACCGAGTTTTCAAATCTGATGGCAGTTTGTCGAATGTACGCGGATCCCAATCTGATGATGATTTGCTGAGTATAGGCGGGCCTTCGACCGAGGGCTCACCGATCACTGACTCCGACAGTGAAACGATTGATAAAGAATTCATGAATGCCAGTCTGGAGTCGAATACTCCGATGCAGTTTGACGACGTGGATGGAGGAATAAGTCTCAAGGGTGTGTTCGGTAAGGGTCGGAAGAAAAAGCTCTCGAAGGCAAACTCATTGCTTGCCGGCGGTCAAGCCGATATAGCCAATAAGGAAATCAGAAATGCAAAAGCGTCTCTGGAGAAGGTTGGTCCATTCCAGAGTTTTCTCTCGAGTTCTTCGAAGCTGAGAAAAATGATGGAGAAAGGTCGTCGTCGTAAGTCAGCGATAGCCCCACTGGTCCCTGAGGCCAGGCCCGAATACTTGAGGGTTGACTACAACAGTGAAGACGCATGCATAACGGTCTTTGCTCGCCTTGAGTACCTCTTGCGCTGCCATATAATGGAGTACATGGTGAAGCTGGAACGCTCACAGACCATCTCGCTCGAGCATACACCAGCCGTTTTCCTCAAGAACTTCTGTCGTAGTGTGCTATTCAAATATTAGCAGTGAGAGCTACAATGCTGTGTTGTGACATTCATTCCAATCATCAAGATGTGCCTGTTCTATCTGTATGTGTTATCTGGGTCCCCCTAGCCATCTTGAGTTCATTTAAAAGTCCAATAGAGACAATCACATGACCAAGCGGCAACCAAATGCATGTCGCAGTTACCGAGGTGCAGCATACCATAATGTGGTGGTCAGGAAACCCAGTCAGAAACTACTTTTAATATGTCATGAGTTGTTCGCGACACAATTCGTGTAAGCGGATCCTGCCGATAGGAGAGGAAGTACACTGGCAGAGGTTATCTCGCCCTGTGGACAAAACTCATTGGCATGATGAAAGCAGACAATTCAAAAGGCTAAAGCTAATCCCTCGGGACCTAATGTGCATCGATGCAAGTCTAACTAAGCCGCGTTGTCGTAGGCGTTGGACTTTAATCTCACATGCACACAATTAATCATAGGCCTATTGTGAATCACATCAGACATGTATCCTCCGTCCGTTACTAGAAGGCGACCGAGCTTGTGCCAGCGAGAACACCCCTAGCTCTTATTGAGGAACTAAACGTCACTGTTGGGCCCTTTTATCGATTTAGAGTCGAAACTCAAGAGAGCACACGACTCGGAGTGGGCCTCTTCCCACTCCCACTGCATGCAAACTCAACAGCTAGGACTCCCAGTGGAACCAAGCACGGGGACCTCAGGAGAGGCCCCTTGACGGCATGGTAGAGTAACACGATTTACTAATAACACATGAGAGAAATCCAAACGCGGGACGAACGAACCCGAGGAACGAGGCCAAGCACATCGAATTTGACCCGAGACCATCTGTTGGCCACTAGCCCCGATTCGAATAGTAGTCTTTATGAAGACGAAAGCATGCACTACTACAAGAGAATTAGAAGCTCCAATGAGGAGCAAAGATAGTCTATTTCGAGACGATTAAATATGTACTTGTCATCATGCTTAGCTGCCTGTAGGCAACTCCTGTCTGCCAAAGTTAAAGAGGTGAACGAGTGCACCATTGCCACAGATATCGGGAGTGCAAGATGCAGGAAGGGTAGCCATACAGTACTCCCTAAAAGTTGACTTCCACATACCCCTAGGACGGCAATACTCACCCAGGTTGGAATATCGACGATACGAGCTCGGCCTCACAGTCGGTAGAGTTGTCATCAACACGCAGCCAGAGTGGCGGTAGCTCATGGACACCAGCCGACCTAAGGTAACCAGGAATGCCCGACGTTGGAAGCCCCAGACTGGGAGCACACCCGTGTTGGTGACGTAAGCTCGTGGCAACGGCCGTGAGGACAGCTGAGACTCCTCTGTTGCCGATGAAGTTACCGTTGAGATGAAGTTCAGCAATTCTTCGCTTGTTGCCAATGTCCAACATCCCCACCAAAGCATCGACACATTTCTCCGTGAGTTGGTTGAAGGAAGCCCGCAGTCGTCTGAAGTGGTCCAAGTGACCGATACCAATCGAAAGTAGATCTCACTGAACATTCGCGGGGCCCCTGTCGAGATGAAGCAGTATCCATTTAAATTCCTCATCCGTGAGATCGTTCCTCGAGAGGTCCATGTCCAGTAGTAAAGGACGGGACTCCCAAGGCCATGTGCCCAGATAGGAAGCGTCGAGCCACTCCAACCAGCGACCTACGTCGAGAAAATAGTCCACGACCACCGCAGCTGAGATCCTCCTACTGATAGCTATGAATCTCCACTTCCCCTCGGTCCCTGCCCAAGCTCCAGCCATCTCTATTTTCAATTCGCCGCTTCCGAGCCATCTAACCCCGGTACCCAACTCGAACTGGGATGAGGTGTTGATGAGTCCTTGTGGAGGCAGCGGGACGACTTGCATCACGACCGGTAGGCTCCATGGGAGCAAGTACTCTGGGTACTGTTGATAGTAATCTCCATAATGGTACCTGAGACTTTCTGATCTTCACCCTTTGGACAAATCTTACTCTGGTGGTAAGTACGGGGGAGACTCTACAAAAGGTCCGAGCACGAGCCTTCGACCGGTGTTATACGATGCCGAGGTTGATGACACTCGCGAGGCGACTTCAATGTACCTACAGGAGAAGTAGACATGTCGCTGAGCATTTTTGGATCAAAGGACCCCTTGGGAGTTGGCGGGCCCTGCGACACCTCCTGGATGACCTCGATGGTGCCAAGTTCATCCCCAATGACATCCCTAAATCGCTCATCTACGACAGAAGGACATTTGCCTTCATCGGACAGCTCGGTGCTCGGAGTGGGCACAAGACACTCGTCGTGCTTCAACCGGTTCTCCTCAACAGGTGTCCAGTCCGGCTCCCCTTCGATGGGATGTTCGAGCGGAGGCGTACTCTCCCTCTTGGCACGCCTACGTAGCCGTCGACGAGCTGCTCGACTCAGTCGCTTATCAGTTGCGGGCACAACGCAGTCGTGACATGGTAAGTCCTCCGTCCCAACCGAGCGGTCTATCAGCACTGGTGCATCGCGTCTGTTCGAGACCGCAGGTTCGATCCCTGCATATGTCGATTTCAAACTAACAGCTTTTCGCGTTCTCTGCTTAGGAATTCCGACTCCTACTTTGAGAGTCTCTGTCACTAGAGGATTTTCTCCACCCACATGTGATTCAGCGAACATTCGGTGAAGCACTCCCAGACTTAGGCCAAGAAGCACCCCCGATATCACGTAGTCAATTCCTGCAAAAGTCGCTACAAGTAGGAGAGCCAATAAGGAATAATCTACAAGTCCAATAATGGAGCCGATCTGGAGGGTCATGCGGTAAAGAGACAGAACAGGTCTGAAAGTGGTCGCAATGGTAGCATATCGCATACTGCAAACCCAACACTTATGTGGTTAAAACGAATCCATGACATTAGATCCCTCTACGGAAGACAAAGGGGGCTCCTCTCAGAGAACAACAGTGAGCGCAGAGTCAGCTGGAGTCTTTCGAACGAGACAACAAAACAGTAGGATAGCAGGATTATCCTTACTTGCGACGATTGCACGCAACGAACAGAGACAGCCGACGGACAAGCTCCTGACAGGCCTGCTGAGGTTTTGCCATCCACATATAACAGAACCGCATGCCCCCCGGAGGGCCGAAAAAGCTATCACCGGGAGAAGGTATGATCTTATACGGCTCGTCACAGAGCTTATCGAATAACGCGTTGGAATCTCCACGAGAATCATCTGGAGTCAGAAACTCTGAGAAGTCGGCCCAGATGAAGATGCTGCCGTCGGGTTGGTAAAAGGGAATTCCTAATCCTTCGAGGCCTTGACAGATTAGCTTTTTGCACTCCGTCAAAACCTTGCGATATTCCGACAAGTATGCTGTCATCCAGTGCTGGTCACCAAGCAGTTTCTCGGTGAACCACTGAAAAGTAGGAAGTACGACTATAATGCTAGAGCTAGCGAGTACCTGCGTCAATGGGCTAACAGCAGCGAACATATTATAGCTGGACTGTGCAGCTTTCTTCAGCGTCACCACGGAGGGATCATGACGTTGACGAGGAAGGCCCAAACAGAAACCCACTCGCATCCCCGACAAACCTATACGAGGAAAGGGGAGCTCTCGGAAAGCATCAATACCACAGACGTACCGAGGTCCTTGCTAAGGCCCCAAAGCACGAGGGTTGGAGGATCGAGATCGCCCGGGAGCAGTGGCTGAGGATGACAGTGCGAGACATTATCATGAGAAGGGACTGACCAAATTCAACGCAGATATGTGGGGCCTTTCGCTATCATCGTGGACTGCACATCCGTAAATTTCATCAGATCTGATGGCAAAGAGCTCTCATCGATAGAGTGGTCATTGCTGGTCTACATCCACCATATGTCCTTCTCGCCACACCAATTCCTTATCGTTCTAAGCTCATCAGCTGTGGCTACTCGGCCGCTCGGATTGCCCGGGTTTACAGTCAATAAGGCCTTGGGCTTCAACCCCTCAGCTACAGAAGACTCGTAGCCTTGCTCAAGGGCTGACCTGAGATTTCAACGCCCACATTGAAAACAGGGAGAGTTGTCGAGAATTCAAGGAGAGCTCATGGCCAACCTCGTGATCTCAAAACTGGTCTCCATCGAAGTCTTTACCGACGGAACGACACGCACCTACACGACGGGGAAAGCGAAAAGATGTAAGTAGGACAGAAAATGAGTTCACCCCAGCTTCCTTTTCACAGTCTAAGAGGAACACTGGATAGAGAGGCTTGGTAGTGAGAAAACAGTCCGTCCCGTCGCCGTCGCCCAGGCAGAATGATATAAGATTCATAGCAGGCCCACACCTATCCGACGAAAGAGCTACTGCCGTCGAGCTGTGAAGGAATGAAGGCTGTTACCCATTAGTGATAGCTATAACATCGTCAGCTGTGACACCGACTCTCACCATACCGTCCACTGGAGGAGCAAGAAAATGCTCGACTGCCTGAGTTGAAAATTATAGGAGAAGATGACGTAGTCTTTCGTCCATTCAAAGAGAGAGAATCGATAATAGTAGACGGGGGGAATCTGTATACGTAACGGTCAGCTTACCTCAGCAACAGCGGTTTTCAAAGTATTCATCCCTGACATGTCTCCGTACATGAATAGCTCTCTGGTGGGGAACGACTTGCTGGAGGACATGTCTGCCAGAATCTGACAGGGACAATTCTCGACAGTAAGAGGGCTTGATAATGATGACCCCCTGGAAACTGGGGAAGAGCTGACAGAGGGGGTTTATCGAGAAGAGCGATCGATACCTCTTTGAATCTAGCCTTTAACATCTCCTCCATGGAACTATTCTCAGCCACGCACATCGTAAGGTAACCATTAGGATTAGTATCTGAGGTTCGTGGCTGCGCGATATACCGAAGGTACGCTGCTCGCCTTGGTCGAATAGATCCGATTTAGAGTCCATAAATGCCTCGAAATAGCTTGTTAATGGTTCATTCGCCGTCTGTACACATCTTTTGGACACATTTGGGCCCGTCGATGCGGAGTTCGTAGTAGTCATAAAGTTTGAGAGTCCTCTGCGGAGCTACTATCAATGAATGAGATGAATCAGATGAGTTTGCCTAGGGCCACTGCAACACTGTTCATTCCCATCTGAATCGACTAGAGTCCAGGAGATGTGGAGCGCTGTACTAGGACATACAATGCCTCGAAATGTATTGGACAACACATGAAGTTCAAGGAAGCTCTCAATAGACGCTCGGTAGTACCAATCCTTTAACACGAGAGACTGATAACGCAAGTCGCACTATACCTTCTCCCGTGAAAGTCCGTCATATCAGTATGCAAGATCGAGAATGCGCAGTCAACAATAACAATGAAAATTGAATTATGTCACAATTCCTGAGAATCCAAGATTATCACTGGAGATGCACCCAGGTTGTGCACTAGCGTAGTACGCATGACGCACCACGCAATGTGAAATGGGTCATTTTTACACACTTCAGCCTGGAGTCTTCAGGCGGAATGCGAACAGTGTAAGAACTACGCAAACCATGACGCGTAATTATCACACATTCCTATTCAACTACACGAAAATATCTACTCCCAGTCATACAAAAAGAAGCAGTTGAAACTTGCTCCCACAGTCAAATTAATCATGTGGCCACACCATTGTTGCTATACCAACATCTGCCTGTTCGTGGCAGAGAACACCTAACTATACGACATACACAGACTGCCCCTGCATGAGCTCCGGTTAAGTCGATTAGCCTGTCGAAGTAACGGATTATTGTATCTGTTCGTTTTCATCAACCGCACCGTTTTGCGTTGTCAGTTTTACCAAGATTGGCTAGGAATCTTAATGTCCGAGTTCACATTTGCACTAACTGTTTCATGTCCTTTCACTACCCCGAGACAAGTTTTAATTCCAGTTCGTTTGGTCGTTTGGGGGAACGATATTTCACCACTCGAATACGGCGGTATTATCATATGTCCTTCCACCCGGAAGGGTGAGTCTGCTGCCCAGTCGTCGGGACTAGATGCCACAACTTCTCCCCCACAACTTCAACTCCAGTGGTAGTCTGCCATCAAATGTACGCTACAATTTCTTTCAACACCATAATCCGTCGCGATCGAGACTTGAGCCAGTGGCATATCTGCCCCTCAGGCGTAATTGATTGCCGCACTTTACAGAAATTGAAGTAACTTCAACATGATCAACGATAATCGTCATCCTATCTCAAAGATATTTCAGTAGTGTGTAGCTTGAGTTGGCATACCTGCCCCACCCGAGAAAACTGACTGTACTCCCCACCATCTTCAGTAGTTGTCCAACCCCAAGAAGCTGAATATATATTTCAGCCGGCATAGTTGCCCCATTCGAAAAACCTAAAAGAATATCTTGAGGTGGCATAGTTGCCCCACCAAAATAAGCTGATTGTACTAACATATATCTTCAGCGGATTGCCATAGTCCATACCTTGGACTGGCATAGTTGCTCCGCGAGGATAAGCTGATAGCGTTGGTGCATATCTTTGGCTGGCATCATACCAGTGGCATAGTTACCCCATTCAGAGGAATTCATAATCCTAGACCTTCGGGTAGCATAACCTACCCCAGACAAATCGACGGCACCAAGCTTTGAGGCATATCCCACGACGGCATAGCCGCCCCATCAAGAGATCTCTATACAAACGGGAGACCTTGCAAAGGCCACAGTCCAAGAACGAGTCGAAGGAAGGATACACATTGTCTACAATATTTCAATACCTGCTGAACTTGAAGGAAAGTCGATGGCATAGCTGCCCCATAAAGAGATATTCAGACAAATGGGAGACCTTACAAAGACCGTAGTCCGAGGACGAGTCGAAGGAAGGATACACATTGTCTACAATATTTCAAAACCTACAAAACGTGAAAGAAAATCGATGGCATAGCTGCCCCATAAAGGGATATTCAGACAAATGGGAGACCTTACAATGACCGTAGTCCGAGGACGAGTCGAAGGAAGGATACACATTGTCTACAACTATCCATGAAGAGACTTCCCTTACCACCAACAGAACATAATCAACAACCTACAAAGGTAGGAAATAGACAGTTCCATGATTACAATACTTCAATGCTCGCTAAATTTGAAGGAAAATCGATGGCATAGCTACCCATAAAGATATATTCATACAAATGGCCAGACCTTACAAAGACCGTAATCCGAGGATAGGTCGAAGGAGACACATTGTCTACAACTAAACATGAAGAGACTTCCCCTTACCACCAACATAGCACAATCAACAACCTACAAAGATAGAAATCAGGCAATTCCATAATTACAATATCACGAAATCTGATCAACCTGGAAGATTGCAAATTAGTACTTAACTCACTCTTTTTCATGTGTGGAGGCTCCATCTTTGCTTCCGACTATGTCCAGCCTTACCACGAAGGTCCAACGTAACTAACAACAAAACGCGGGCAATCATATTAGAGACGCTGATTATCTTTACAAGCTATTGCTCTATTGCTATGAGTAGTCTGAACAACTATCACTGAAGAGGTTGACTAATGCCACTTCAAGTGCTCTAATGAAAAAAGAGCCTCAACAAGCACAATTAAAGTTCGATAGCATCGTACATTACATTACGTAGTAAGAAACGATAAGAGATTAGAAATCAATGAAATTGCAAACCAAATATCTTTTGAGAACACACCAAATAGAGCTGAACGCTGCTTACGGTCGTTTATATAAAAACTCATAAAGTCCGAAACAGTTAAGAAACATTAACATTCTCCCTTCCGACTCTCCTGAGCTAGATGGCTCAGTCGCCTGATAACTTCCCTACAAGCCTCCTGACCATCAGTCATCCAAGCATAACATAGTCTCATCATACCAGGCTTGTCAGCGAAGAAGCAACTACCAGGAGATATGACCATCTTATACGGATCTGACTTTAGGGTGTTGAAGAGACCCAACCCATCAGAGTCGTCCGATTTAAGGAACTCTGTGAGATCACACCATAGGAAGAGACCGGCATGAGGCTCGAAATAAGGTATGTTCAACTTAGCCAATCCATCACACAATATACGCTTACATGCCGTAAGGTGATCTCTGGAGGTCTGAAGGAATCTCGGCAACCATTCATCGTCAGAGAGCATCCTAGTGCACACCTCCTGGGCAACAGGGCTGACCATTGAGAATATACCATACTGCTTGGCAGCAGCATGTCGGATAGCCTCGATCAGTTCCCAATTCCTCTGCCGTGGGACATTCATAATGAAGCCAACACGCATGCCCGAGAGTGCCATGTCCTTGCTGAAGCCCCAGAGCACCAGTGTCGGAGGATCGATGTCCCCTTCAAGAAGTGGTAGACTCAAGGCCGAAATATGAGGGCGATTGCAATCATTATGTACACTGCAGCCATAAATCTCATCAGAGATCCACCATAATCCATTCAGACCACACCAATTTCGTAAAGCACGGAGCTCCTCAACACTGGCAACACTTCCCATCGGATTGCCGGGATCAGTCGTGATAAGGGCACGAGGACGATAACCTTCACTTACACATTGCTTGTAGGCACTATCGAGAGTTTTCCTGAGAGTTATAAATATACTCTCGAGAACATTTTAAATGATAATAGGATTGCTTACAGGTTGATCCGGAAACCGTCTTCTTCAGTTGTTTTCACAACAAACTTCACTGGAATGTTAGCTTCTAGCCCACAATCGGTAGCAAAGACGGGATAAGCAGGATAAGTGGTGATAAAACAATCTTTGCCGTCACCATCACCCAGACAGAAAGAGACCATATTCATGGCAGATCCACAACTGAAGAGATAATACTTAACCGAGTTTGACAACACGCCCCTGCTCACCCGTTGGTGATACATAAGATGTCTTCAGCTTGCATTTTCTGTTCACTCATAACGTACTGGTCGGTAACCTCCTCCATAGCTTTGACAGCTACTTCAGGAGATGCCAGGTGAGTGGAGACAGCCCGAGAAACGGCTTGTTTAAAGTTGTGCATACCAGACGAATCACCATAGTCACACAGTTGATGTCTTGGGAAAGCAGGATCTGCGGCGAGCTCCGCGAGAGTCTACAAGAAAACCGGTCAAAACAGAAAACCCAAGCAAGCAACAGAAGAAAAACCATCAACTGCACACACGAAGATTCCCGACACACGAACAGACCAGACACTATGTAACTCGATATACTTAATAAGCGTCGAAGATCGATGACAGTCTGGCGTACTTTCCTGAATTTTTTCTCCACATCTCCTCCCATAGTCCTATTCTCTGCCATGCACATTGGAATAAATCCCTCAGGATTCGTATCTGACATCCACATACCATAACACGGTGAAGATATCAAACAATACCACCTACCCTTATCGTAAAGATCCTTTTGCGCATCTGCGAAAGCCGCAGCATACACGGTGAACTCAGTGGCAGCAGCCTTCTTACCGCGCCTCGATATTCTATATGGTGGCTTAGCACGAACCGAATCGTCAAGTCGTTGCTCTACCATTTTTAAAGACGTAAACAAAGCCCTAAAGCACTTTAACTACGTCCAATAAAAGGGCCCATGCCTAGCGCTAGCCATTATGGCTAGATACCAGGCAAAATGATACCATCGATGGCTGTTTCGCTGACTGCTTGTGCCAGATACAATGCCATCTTCCTAGCGAACTCTATTGTGACACAACATGTCCTGGAGCCCGTTCAATTGCTCACTTTTCCGAGCCCGAGATCGTTGAAAAAGAATTTGGCAAAAACTGCGCTTCCATGCCAGCTCTGGCCAAGGTGGCATACTTAACATACTGGTCCTATATAGTGTACCAGTCAGACCCCTCGGTCCATGAGAAAACAATACTGTTAGTTGTTCGAGTTGCATCTGTCATCACTATCAAGGCACAATGGTCACCAATCTCATAAGAGTATGAACCTTGGGAGAAAGGCGATGACAAGCTACTGCGATGGCCTCGACTCACCCGCATGGACTTCTTGCCATGTGAGGCCACCAACACGGGAAAGATACGTGTCGATCTCATCTTGTTCATACCGTAAATAGGAACCAACATCGCCTACAGCAAACACCTCGCTCAAGTTCAGACATTAACGCAGTGGAAAGGCGTCACCCATAGCTAGAATGATCCCAACTGCTGTTTCCGTTGCATATATGGGCATCGATACAACCTCATTGGAAACGACATGAGATCTCCTCACGGGAGATTTTCACTTTGCCTTAAGGCAAAGTGGCAAAATATTGCTCACGAGCCTGGTCAGTGGCATTCGGACTGCAATGTAACCCCCAGGGAAAACTTATCCTACCATATCTTGAATGGCGACCTTGAGTTCGCTCGCAGATGAGGCTTTACAATAGGCTCTTACTCTACCCCAACTCACCAACACTCCGGGGCACCCAGCACCGAGCATCTTGTGTATTCGGAGATGGGAGAAGGGGAATCAAAGTTTGGGAGAAAGAGGTAGTAGGGGGAATCCCGATTCCGAGTCGGAAGTGGCCACTTCCCAGGGAAAATGTTGGGCGCGCGAGAAAAATATTGGCCAGGAGGAGAAAAAAGTTGCAAAGTTGCGGAAAATGCTTGCCTTCGGCAAGCATTTCCCGTGCTGGACTCACTTTGAAAAAGTGTTCCCAGCTGACTACTACGGTTCCCTAAGCTTCACTGTCAATTTTGGCAATGGAAGGTGATGACGTGGCAGTGGAGCCGTGTCACAGATCATCCAGTGCTCTCCCCAGAGTTTGTAATTAGTAGCGTGCTGAAGCCTCATTCGAGTATCTTCACTGTCGCTGAATTCTTCATGTATCGATTGCAGGATTGATCCCGGTTCGAACCGCGGTAAGGGTACTTTTCCGTCATTAATTTCCGGCCTGACACCTGTCAAAACGAGCTAGGGAACATCCAAGGACTGCATCTTTGAACGAATCCGGCTGCTGCTGCTGCTCTCGAGTGTTACTTTCGGCGTTTTTGATCTATTTCTCCTGAGCGCTCCCAGGGTGGGAATTTACACGTCGTAGATGACATATCATAACAACAACTGAGTGACCCGTCTGATACCGCTCGGCTCGCCGCAGTATTTATCCTATACCACACTATTGAGAATATTACCATCTCGATTTGTCCGCCTTTTTTTGGTCGCCCTTCCTTGTGCCTTACTAGACAGTACCATCTGTAACTGTGATATCAATGCAGCGTTAGGGCGCTGGAATGGTAGGGTCTACTATCTATGGGATTAGCAGCGTACAGAGGTGCCTCCTCCACATAGCAGTAGTAGTAGGTTGCTGTTCTCGCTTCCCCAACGTTACTAATGGCTGTAGCATCATCACTAGCGTCCAAGATAGGAAGTGCCGCTACCACTGAGGAGCCAACTGTGTTAGAGGCCAACCTCTCGACATGGATGAAGACTAAAGAGTTGAATCTCGGCTTGGCGATTCTGTCGGATCCATGCGTGTCTGAAGTGCAGCTAATGCAAATGCTTAATGAGTCTCCAACTACTATGACTCTAGCAATAATGAATATCGTGGATAGGTAGTACGGACGGGGGCTTATCAACTATAGACTGTAAAATGCCAGGTTCACTTCTCCTATGTTGGTGTCAGCGATGAAGAGTGAGCTTTCTGTTGCCGCTATACGGGAATGCGTAAAAAGACTTCGACAACTTTTCGATGCTTATGCGGTCCTACCAGAGGTAGTCTGCACACACACTAGCCTCTGTGGATGGCAGATTTGTTCAGGCGGATATACGGCAGGTCGCTCCTGACGTACCAAGCCTGGGCAATGTGGTAATACCGCACCACGGAGAACTCATGTTGAATTGCAGTTATCCACTTCTGTTATCAAAGAGATGATGAGAGCGATGGTTCAGCAGCACTCACCGTTTTACGTCAATGAAAAAATAAAATGACTCTTAGGAAATATTTCCGAAATGACTGTTCTATTTTCGCCGTTTCACGTGAGCTCGAGCACTCCATTAATAAATCATATCATAATATATCAATGTCTGATTATAAATAGAGGATTATATGGTATCACGATTAGATATCCATTAAATGAGGGTCTGTTAAATAAGTTAATATAAATATAATTATATCCTTTTATTTATGTTTTAATAGTCATATGGTTATAAATACACTAAATTAGAATGTAATATGGTTATCTCTTAACCTCTTATAGAGATAAACTAATTAAGAACTTTAGGGACGTCAACTTCTGCTCAATCACGTTGGGTTTGCAATTTCTTGGCAAGGAATCAATATTCGTGGTGTGAGCTATTCCGAGTTAGAAAGTTCATGTGAAGGTACTGTTCGCCCAATGTCTATTGGATGCTAAGTTCCTGGATATGTGCCTGGAGGGCTCCGAAGAGGGAAGGAAGGCTCTTCTTGAGGCATTTACGGCTATGGAAATGCGCATCAGGAGCATTGAAAAGGTAGTATTGATTTGCGAACTATAGAGTGCCCGAAATTTAGAATTGATACCATTCAAAAGTGCTCGCAAAGATCTTCATATCTTGTTGAATTCCGATCAAGCTCGACAATAGCGCATTCTATTTTGGGCACCTTGTTAGTTAGGTCTCCTCAGTTGAGCGCGGCACCTCCTTTTTAGCTGGGGGGTGGTAGATGCTTATGAAACTAATATAGACGTTTTAAGGATTTTCGCAACCATTGATGGTCAATCGCTAATTTATTATATTATATTTATGGTATGAGGTTGGCAATATCATTATGTTGCTGAGTTTTCATTGAAGTTTCACCCGTTCTACGTGAAGTGGCGTAAAACTTCGTGAAAAACGCGATATTTGCGCCCTGCAATAGTCGTGAAATATGTTTTTCACTAGTGTTCACGGGTGAAACTCCATTGAATGAATTTTTGGAGTTTCACCCTAGTGATATGAAAAACACTACTGCGTACTGAGAATATAGGGTTTCCCACCGAGTGGGCGAAACTCCATTATATAGGCATTGTCATCAACATGCGTGGGTGAGTATAGGTATATTGTCTCTCACTTTACCATTTAGGATTCCCTAGCTGGCACCAAGGCCACGGCGTTACTCCAAGGGCTGGACTCAGTATCGAGATCGAGCCTAGCTGAGGCATCAGCAGCTGCTGCTGGCCGTACTCAGGATGGCTTCTTCGAGAGGAAGTAGGTGGTGGGGTGGGTGGTGAGGTGCTATGCTTGTGATAGGCATTTGGACATCCCTGGCTGGAGCCCTAGGACGATCACGGCAACAGCAGCAACGTCACCGCGCCACAAAAATAACTGAGAGTCTACTACTATCACTACTACGTACCAGCTTCCATAACTATCGTATAAATATTTGGTTATTAGTTTAATAATGACTACGGAACCACGCGCAAAGCTGATGCCTTTAGTATCGTGAATATCTCACGGAACGGTATTAGAAGTATTCCTATCAAACGGCTGAGTTGAAATGAAGGAATTCCGTTCGACAGTGATTTATTTCCCCGTCGTAAATCGTTCCTCTGCTCTGGTTCACGCATATGGTCAACTGCGTATGCTGGTGATAGTGGGGGAAATTTCGGAAGATTCTTATTGGTTTTGTGAAAATAAGATTTGGAAACTCCTGAGCTCAGGTGGGGAAAGCAAACATATATTCCTCCAACACTACTCATCGAGGGCTCTAAAATGGTCGTGTATGGAAGCTGTTGCTATCTGTAGGGTAGAAAGTCGGCTCCTGAAATACCGATATTATGGTAAAAGCCTTATACAGGCCGTGGTGGAAGTCAACAATGGTTGAGAGGATCTAAGTGAATCATACATGGTTTACAGCTTTCTCAAATTTTATGATGTTCCCCCCGGGTCGTCTTGAAGTGGAGTCGGTCGTGTTGAAGAAATTTACCCTAAAGCTGAAGAGCCCATTGCCGTTATGTAGATGGAGTAGTCGTGTTGACATCACGGACCGAAATGGTGTCTATGTTGTTATACACTCTCAGTAAGTTCACCGATCGGATCTTAGAAATATATGGCAGCTCGTGGTCCAGCCTAAGGGTTGTGGAAAACTCTCAGACGAAATATACAGCAGAGTTTCACCCGTTTCATGTGGAGTGGCGTAATACTCTATGAAATACCCGATATTCGCGCTATACAGTAGTTGTGAAATATATTTCTCGATAGTGCTTTTTTCACATCACGGGTGAAACTCCACTGTATGTAGTGCCTGAGGAATTTCCATCTATTGGCGACTTTTCCTCGACGTGCGTTGCGCAGGTTCTACCCGGCTGATGAGTCGTCGTCACCAACCCCTTGCTGTGGCGTTGGCGAGGCTTGCCCTCTTCCTCTGTTTCATCCTGCACGCTGCTTCGAACCAGCCATGGAGCCTATCCCCATACCGCAGTCGATTGATCTTACAGCTGATGCTGTTTATGAGGCCTCGAGGATTGCATCATCGGGTGATATCAGCTTGCAAGGAGCGGTGGAGATGGCGTTGCTAGGATGTGTATGCGAGTGTATAGGAAAAAGACCTGCTGAAGTGCTGTCGTGGTATGGTGGGGCAAACGGAGAGAAAATTTCACAAGTCGTGAAAATCAACCAGATGTACACTCGCGAGGAAAACCAAGGCGGTGCTCAGCAGGGAGGTTGCGTGAAATTGAAAGTCGGAGAAAATCCAATACGAGACGCTGAAAAAGTCAACTCTGCCGCCACTGGTTTGGTCGGGACTGGTCGGCTAAGGCTGGACGCTAATCAGTCCTGGACACCAGATGAATACCACACTTTCGCCACTTCACTGAGTGAGAGTACCAAGGCTAAGATAGAGTATATAGAGGAACCCACTGTTACATGGAATGACGACTTGGTTCGATTCGGCATCTCTATTGCTATGGACGAGAGCCTCGCCACTGCAAAGAGCTTCCCTGCTTGTGAGAGAACTGATGTTCACTTCGTGTTGAAGCCAGGGGTGATCGGTTGGCGTCGTGCATGCCAGTACGTGGCGTCTTATCCTCATTGTTGCTGCCTATCTAGTATGTTCGAGTCATCGTTAGCTATGTATTGGTATACAGCATTGGCCAGTCTATGCGGAGATGAGGTCTATCACGGTCTTAGTACTTCTGGTAGAGTCATTGAGCCTAGGAAGCGGACGTATGAGGACATCACCAAGAAGAGCGGAGGCCAATGGTTTGTCAATGTACACGAATGTGAGGAAGAACTGAAGACTATCACGGCGGCTATAGTGCGTGAAAGTGATGATTTCTCTATTTTCTGACAGACTGTTGCATTGCGTTCGCTATAAGGGCGGCAGCATTGGAATTTACGAATTTACCAGTTCATACACTGCCTCCTAGGAAGACTATTACGGCAGCCTCTGTGTGTAGTGATGATCATAGTGATCTTCTATTTTCTAATTAACTGTTGTATTGGGTTTGCTATAAAGACGACAGCATCGGAGGTCTTGGGGGGGTCGAATTTACCAGTTAATACAGCGCGATTGATATTTTGTTGATGTTGTTATCCGCTGATTCCATCCTCTCGTGTTGTTGTATAAGAGTACTGATCTCAACTGTTGCCTTTATATGAATTATGTCAACTCAAACGGGCCAACTGTGAGCTCTCGAGTTTCGTTCATAATGTCTTCGACTACCAATGGCTCCTAAGAAGAGGCGTATAGCGAAAAGGTGTCCCCGATGCGCTAGAATAGTGGCCACACGGAGTGAACGGCCATGCACCTCCTGTATGGCACGGGAAAGACGACGATTACTAGCTGAAGCTGACGATGATACTAGAGGGGAGGTTGTCGACTATTCAGAGAGTCGATCAGAAAAAGAGGGAGAAATGGCCGCCACTAGACCTGTGATTTCACTGCAGTTCACTAGGGATGTCAATGCAACAGTTGAAGCTGAGGTTAGGCCCCACGTTAGTGGGATAGATGGTTGAGAGTGGCTTTACTCAGGAAACGACACCAAACGCGGAGCCGGAATTAGAGCGGGATAGGTCCCCACGGATAGTAGAAGGAATGTAAGTAACCTCTAAGATCTCGCCCCTCCGTCGCCTTATGGCATGCTTCGTGAGTTCTCGTGCCTATGATCAGCCCGAGAGCATCTGAACAGACACCTACTGCTAGTGATTTCGATAGAGTGTTGGCCTCTAGGGAGAGGTATAGAGCCGAGGCTGGCAGGTAGACTGTGAGGAATCGACGAATGATTTGTCGGTGGCGTGGTATAGGTTACAGGCCAAAGTGCGAGATTTGTCCGTTCGTCGAGAGCAGACAGTCGAACAGAATAAAGCGATGGATGCGACTCTGCAGGATCGAGCAAAGCAGATATCGCAAATGCAACGTGTATGGTCCTCCTGGCTAATGCTCGCTGCTGCTGAGGTATTGTTCTTCTTGTGAAGACTATAGATAATCTTCGCTGTGCGGTGCTGCAAAGGAGATTGGATGCGGAGAAGATACGCAAGCGAGCGTGTTGGAGCCGTAATCGACTAATGAAGCGCAACGGCCAATTAATGGAATACTCCGCTAAGTTGCTGACAACAGCTCAAGAGTTGCAAGTATTTCGTCTCGGTGTGGAATTTATTTCTCATTGTCACTTTTGCCAGGCTCAGCTGAAGGTCAGCAACGCCTCGGTGGAGGCGATCCAGGAAGCAGCAGATGACCTCTCACTCTCGGCTAGGAACTCAGTCGTTCCATCACAGGTCGCTTTATTGTTACTTCTGTTTCGGTCAAGGAGTAGCTCAGGTTGTTGATGGGCTCGTATCGACATTGCCACCGTTGCCTAGTTGGGATGATGATGAAAATGCTGAGGAAACTAACAACACCCGCGAACATAATGACGTCACAGGCGAGCATAGGAAGGATTGGTCAGCCCGCGTATTGGCGTTGTGCTTCAGAACCATCGACTTTGGGTGGTAAAGACGCACCTCAGAGACGCGTCAAGCAAGAAGAATAAGTAGCCGACAGTAATCGAGGTTTATCATTGACCTTGCTCAGAGATTGCTGTGAAGAGCACCTCCCCGACGTGCCTTGTGAGGAGTCCGTAGATAATAACGTCGAGGCTAGAGGCTAATCCTCACTATTATCATCGTTGAGCTCCATCGGGGATTCCGAAGAGGCGCGGCGTTACTAGTGTCAATGCACAGGGCATGTCGATAATCAGTTTCGATGCTTTTGATGATCAGTTCGGGGACGATTGAGTCAGTGTCACCACTCGCGTTATTGTACTCGTACATTTTACTCTACATCACATATGTAGATATGAATTCAAAATTGGAACTAAATTGTACCACAATATGAAGTTGGTTTATGTATTTCATCTCTCTGGAGCTTCTCACAAGATGAGGCCAGGCTAGGAGCGCTCGAAGGTGCGGGAAAGTCAGCTCTGCGAACTTGCGGCTCTGCAGTCGTCATTGAAACCATGACTTCGAGATAGGATAGTTTCGAGCACGCAACATTGGCCCGTTGAGGAAATGCAAGATTAAACAAGTGCGCAAGATGTGCATGCACCATCGGATCGGCGTCGCACGACCAATGTTCAACGCTAGCTTGCGTTGCGATATGGCGCGGTATGACGAGGCGTGGCATCTCTACTGCTGGGCTTGCTTATTGGGTCCGCGGTTGAATTGAATATGTAGGGCGTTTGGGTTTTGTGTTATTATTGTCATCATCTGATCATCTTGTTTTGATATTAATACTCAACAATGGCTGTGGAGTGTAGCACCCCGTCTACACTGTCGGGCCTAGATCGAGATAGTGTTCATCGCTATTCTCCTCTCGTTGAAATCAAGGATCAAAGTGCGCCACAGAAATGGTACTGTGATGCATCAGCAGTAGAAGTTCCCCAAGGTGTGGTATCAGGTTTGAAGGGTATTTAGGAGACGTAGATGTGGCTAGGAAAATGGTAAGTATAGTTTCTGCTGGGGGCGGTCGTAGGCCTCGCCCTTAGATCACAGTTGCTTTCCAAGATGACATATGGGCTTCAAAGACAGTGCCAATGTCAGAGGTAAGGATTCGGAACGCATCAATGAAATATGGAAGGATGAGTGTCAGGCACGGTTGGTGCCTCCCTTGACCAGCAAGGCGCTCAGCAATGCATATGACTACAGGCCTGAGGTGGGGGATACAGTCGAGGTAGGACGAGTGGCATCCTCTATGGGGTAATCGAATGGTCCCAGGTTCGATCCCCGGCTACGGCACATGCTCCCGCTAGTTGGTGGAGTGGCGAGATTGTCAGCATTCGAGCTGATGAATTTTTCTATGTCAAAAACACCGACTTACATGAGCCTATTATCGTGGAGCGAGGGAACCTTCGTCGGCCCGTCGGGCATCATATGGACGGAAATGACTCTGGTGGGAGTTTTAGTAAGATGGGGTCATTCAGCGTTTAAGGTTGTGATAGTAGATATTAATAGGTCCTACGAACTTGACGGACTTGAGTTCAGAGACTGTCCAGGTCCCGAGAGTCCTCGCCGATTGGATAATGAGTGATGATGGTCAAGGCTGCCTCAATCAAGTAGCGATCAAGTCCGGCCTTCTTAAGGTGACTCATGATGTGGCGGATTTGTGGTATGGGATCGAGTTGCTCCTTGATCAGGTAACGCCTCGAGCCGATGCAAAGAGTGGTCCTTCGGTTACTCTAGTGGGAAGTCAGCGTGACCTTCACCGCGCTAAGCTACTACTCGATGTTCACGTGAAGCACCAGAAGGACATCCAGAGCTTCCACGAGAAGCGGCAAGCGATGCTCGACGTATTAGCGATGCCTTCGTCACGATGGCTGTGATGATGTGGAGCACCTCAGGCACTGTCATCTCGTCGTGAGAAGTTGGAAAGCCAGGAGTCGACTACTTTCAATATCGATGCAAATTTGGTCGGCGTTATGATTGGCAAGAACGGGGCTCACATCAGTCGGGTTATCAAGGACTATGGCGTGGAGGTGAATGTAGCTGACAAGGGCACTGCTAGAGATCCTCAATCGAGGAGGGTGGTCATATACGGTCCATCAGTAGAAGCTGTTAATAAGGCTAGAGCCGAACTCGAGTACCTCGTTGAGAGGTGATAACAAGGACAGCTCCTGTATATTTTGTCATCCTCGACGCCGTTTGACCGACTCTGTTGTAGATATCCGATACCGCAAGACTGCATTGGTTGGGTTATTGGCCGTCGGTTTGCAACTCTGCATGAGATCGCAGACTCTGCTAACCTAAACTATGCAAGGCTGGAAGACACATCGCATTCTCCCTGTCTAGTCCTCTGTGGGAGGAGACAGGATCTGGATGATGCCAAGTTGTTGCTTGACAGTCATCTACAGTATCACGACGTGTTTGAAGATATGGCTAAGGAGTCTAGAGAGCTCGGTGACGAGTTTTATCGGCTAAATGATGTACCCGATTATCAGCGAAGAGGAAAGGGCAAAGGTAAGCGACATCACCACATTAGGATGGACATGTATTCCTCTCAGGTAAAGGTAAAGGGAAAGGCAAGGGTGGTGGTGGTGGTAAAGGGCGAAGTAGAGGAAGTGGATCCTCTGATTCTACGAACTCAGCGGGTGCCGGCTGGCCCGACCGACGGAAAGGGTCGGTTGGTCAGCGAAATACTGCTTCTAGTGCTAAGAAGTGGGTTCAAGTGAAGAAGGACGTAGCGGCACCATCGGTTGCTAGCTGATGGCAATGCTGATTAGCTGTCAAAGCCAATGTATATTTTTGCTATAGAGTACAGCCCGCCAAGATGGTGGTATATATCGTGTGTACTTTCTTGTCTCATCATGGACATTTGTTCATTTGGATGGCTCTTGTAGCTACTTTACTTGTTCGCTAGTCTCGAGATTTCTCGATTGCGAGTAGTCGTAGTGTGTAGAGCATACATATCATTACTGTGCTCTATTGGGACGAGGTTGAGAAGTATTTTTATTGATTTATGGTCTTGAGTTTAAGAGTTCACTGCCAATGGCGATGTAGTGGAGTTGACGCGTGACGCAAGAGGCTTGCGGCAAGACAGTAATGAAAGGATTGTGGCTTTTGGTATCACACGAAATAATACCGCTGCAATCTACCCGTGTACAAAGTGAATTACGTAATGTGAAAGTTGATAAACTGGTCGTTCGATAGTCGTAAACTCTTTGTGTGATTTGTAGCTAGAGCGTCATAGTTGTTACTCCATAAAGGAGTTCAGGCTTGAGTATTCAAGCGTTAAGCTAATGCAGCAGTCCAGCGAAGGACAACTGAGTGATCTTGTTGATGTCACCAATTCTTGTGGTTGTCAAAGGTGTTTAACAACACAGTGAGAGCGTCCACTGGCTAGCTAGTGATGTGACTAACGCAAGATGAGCTTTCGAGAATATCACGAATGTAACACGAATAAATGGTACTTAGAGATGGTATGAGCAGAGTTCAGAAGAAGTACTCCTCGGTGACGCGCGTTGCTCCCAATGGTGACTGAACATATTCGTCAAGGAACCACTCGCCTAGAGAGCTCACCTGTAAGGGATTGCCATCATCATCTTCAGAGTATCCCGCTATCGTTTTAACACAGGCTTCCGCCCCAACATCGAGGCAACCGAGGTCGGCAGCGATGGAATCAAGAACGGTCTCTGACTCCGTTTCCCCTCGAGAACTTTCCGGCGCCTATCCAAGCGTATGATGTACAGTAGGGTGTAGATGGACGACTCACCGGGCCGAAAATATTAAATCTGCGAGTGCCATTCTCGCAGATTTCCATCACACTAGCCGTGTTGCCGAATCGAAAGCAATAGTTTGGCGCCGACCAAACAGTTGATACACACCGATCAGGGAAGAGCACTTGGTAACCCTGAGCTCCACCGCATTTAAGACCCTCAAGGGTTGCTGTTAAACTTACATGCATGCAGAGTTGATGGGCTCGGACCATATGATCTAAGCCATTCATGTGTAGGAATTTAACCGTGACATCATGGCCGAAAACATACCTAGGATAGATACAGAGGATAACAGGCGGCCGCCGTCTCACCCTGCTCCTCTAGGGGACACTGTAAAGCCGGAACCAGAGGGTAACTCCTTGTAGTCGCGGACCGATGAATTGGGTTCCTGAAATTGAGGTCCATTATACTCAAGTCATCGAACTTGCCTCACCTCAACCACAACAGGCTCGGCGCTGTTACTCTGTACGTGCATGCTGGAGCCGTCCGGGTCAGACCTGAGCGAGAGTAGAACTTTCTCAAGAATAGGGAAGCACCTCACCAGACGATATCGGCAAGGGGGCCTTCATGGGGAATCTCAGCAAACCGATAAAGCAGACGTAGTTGGTCCAACGTGTGCACTGATGGCGAGAGCCCGCCGTGAACCTAGATAAGAGACAATACCAACTTCTCGGCAGATTAGGAATGTCTACCGCTAGAGTTCGCCCGCCCACCACAGCGGCGACTGGAAGGTAGTCGAACATGTCAGTGAAAGATCTCCATACACTCAGGTCGTCATTGTACTTCAGAGAGCACTCAGCGTAAAAACCATAGACCTTCGAAAAGAGGGAATCAATAACCAAGGAGTGATTATCACGTGTACTTCACCTGAGTGATCTGTCGGGACTCATGGTTGCCACGTAGAAGGCTGACACGGTCGGGATAGCGCAATTTAAGACAGCATAGTAGGGTTATAGTCTCTACACTCAGAGATCCTCGATCAACGTAGTCACCCTGAGAGCAATGGTAAACTCCAATGTTGAGTAATACACACAATGTCGAAATATATCTGTTCGCTTTCCTCAGCCCAGCTGAGGAGTTTTCTCACTGATAATAGAGGTTTACATACGCATTCGGGGGGAAACCAGTAAGGACCAAGAAGAACCTTCCAAAATTTCCCTTCAGATTTTTCGTATTGTCACCACCAACAGATGTAGTTGACCATGTGTATATTTCTCCCCACATCGAATACACAGTATATGATACGGTCCATGATAATGATGAGAGCAGGTCGCGGATTGAACTAAATGAGCACCCGCTGGTAAATGAGAAAATTACTTACCAAAAAGAGGTAGTTCACATCAGGTACAGGGCCGCCTACAGCCAGCAGCTCGATAACGTCATGGAACTGCCTGAGATTGCCCAGTTATTTAGTCATCTTCAACGTGGATATGCATACCCATGAACATCACCAGCAACAGTAACAGGTGGCTGTAGTTGAAGGACGTTGGACTCTTCTACTAAAATGTCCTTTAATCGCGCACACAGCACTCGTATTTGGGGAGCTGACAGGAGCTCACACCTGATGATAATGGTCCATGAATAGCAACGACAGAGTCACGGGCTACTTCTTCGCCTTCTCGACGCATGCATCAACGTCGAACACACTACTCCGGCTGGGAAGGGAGCCTTTCAGCAACAGTCTACTGCTACTCTCGTTGTCCAACTTTGACAGTTTCTCAAATACTGTGGACTTCACCGTATTGACGTCATACGACATGAGTATCAACACGCATGGAAACCAACAGCTTCAACTGCTGAGCACTACTGTTACACATTCCCTCCCTCCCGAGTGACTGACAACCCAACAATAACAACAATGACCAAGACTACCAAGTCTAGAGGCATAACTCGACAGCCACGTCTACTTGCGTTCCCTCAAACCAGCTTCAGCAGGCACGTCCTCCTTCTCCACTAATACCTAGGGGGTAGGAATAACGAATACTCAACTCGTCATGACCTTAGGCACGTACTCCATCTTCCTTGTCTTTAGAAGTCTCGAATATAGCTGCGGGCTTGCCTCCTCTTTTCTCATACAGAGCTTGTGCATCTTCAATGCCTCTCAGACGCTCTACAATAGCTGGATGAGTGTATTTCACCCATGCATATCTACATACATGAAAAATAAGAGCGAGTAGTGTAGATATTCATCATCGAGAATATGGCAAGGAGTGGTAGGGGAGCCGGTGTGAAAATATATGCACATGCTCAACTACATGTGTAGGTGACATCTGTGGAAATTCCGAGGAAAATTGAGGAAATTATCATTGTTTTGTATACACTTACGCCTGAATTCATAAGTAAACTCTAAGGAGATTCCTGCACTCAGCTGAGGAAGGCCAACATTTATTGCAACACTGGGCGAACCACTGTGAAAATATATGCACATGGTCAACTACATGATTTGGTGAAAATATGGAAATTTTCTGACAAGGATTTCTAGTAGAAATTCTCCACACTTTTACCCAAAATCGTCTATGTATTTCTATAAAACTGACGAGCTCAGTTGAGGAAACCAGGAATATATTCCCATTTTGAGGCGAGCACTCACAGTCTGTCAGGATCCATATCACCAAGATTGTCCTTCTGCAGTTTGGTCAGGGCCGTTTTCAAGTCACCACTACGACCATCATCAACTGAGAAACGGTCGGCTTGAAACTCGAATGTCCTGAGATTAAGAAAAATGATGAACACTAACTACCAGTGGAAAAATAGGAGATAACAACCTACCTGGTTTGGACGGTCATCAGAACGTCAATAGCTTGATCGATCGGCTGCCATAGTCGGGTGAATAGCATCAACGCCACCATCGCTGGGACCGATCCGTCAGGCATTGTAGGGAAGCCAAAGTCGCTGCATATGCAAAGGCATTGCAGGCGACGATGAGGAAGGAGTAGTATGTTACCTCAATAGTTGCACCCCATATCGCTGTACGAAGATTCCATAGGCGTACATGATGACGAACAGATGAGCACTTGCCGCTGTCATCGACTTCACCAGATGATTATGGTACCAATGGCCGAGCTCATGTGATAACACCTAGGAAGATGATCCTTCACAGCGGCGGTCTGGCATGCCCTACCGAGAGGATCTCCTCGTGAGTTAACGTGAGGAGGGTATCAAAAAGTACGATACGTTTGCTCTTCCAAAAACCAAAGAAATAGGCGTTACTGTGGGAGGACCGTTTAGAGCCGTCAACCTGAGCGAACAATCAATCAACTGCTCTCAACATCGTATACAGGTTTTCATATACTTCGTGATTTTATTCGAAATTTTTTTACGAAATTAAATGCAATTTATGTAGTTATTTTAGAAGTGTAAGAAAATATTCACGTAATGTTGGTAACAATATGAAATTTTTAGGATTTTCTTATCGGTTTCTTATACCCTTTCACCCAGATTCCTATGTTGGTGAAACTGCTGAGCTCAGCTGAGGAAAGTGAAAATATACTTCAACATTGGAGTTTCACCACTCGTTTTACGTGAAGTGGCGTAAAAATCCTTGAAAAACGCGATATTTACTCTATGCAGTAGTCGTGAAATATGTTTTTCATATCACTAGGGTGAAACTCCATTATCCTTTATTCCCTCCAAAGTGATACTACTACCATAATACCTGGAAGAGTTTAGTGAGTGGGAAGTGATGGGAAGCAGCCAATGCCTCAATCTTCTCACGAAGTTGCATGTCGTGAAGTGGCTTACAATAGATAAACTCGACGGGGAGGGCGTAGTAGTAGTAGAGACCTACTTCATATTTGTTGAACAGGGGTTGGATGACCGCAGGGTAAACGAACATCATCACCACAACGACAACTTGGGCAAAGACCCAAACGTATCTGAAGTGAACACTAAGGACTGCTGTTACTGATGATGATGATGATCGTACACATAGAAGTATTCACCTCCCCAACGGATCAGGTAGATAACAGGTGGGACTAGGAGAAATACAAATACCATGGAGATGATCTCGGATTTCACAAGATCTGTGATGAACCTTTGAACAAAGAAAATGCACGACGCCTCGGTGTGGAGGGAAAATATGCACATGGTCAACTACATGTGTTGGTGATGACAATATGAAAAATCTAAGATTAAGAAATTTGGGGAATTCTATGCACCCGAATTCGTATGTATACTTCTTGAGATCAGCTGAGGAGAAGGAACATATATTCCTCCAACACTGTACTTACAGTTTAGCGGTCATCCTGTTGAAGCCATGGCGTTGCTCGATAACAAAAGTGCGGTATGCTGCTATTGGAATAGCAATAACCTGATCGCCATATAAAGTCGTCGGACCGCTTCAAGATTGCCTCTACTACATTGTTCATCCAGGATCCAACTATAAACCAGAGTATAGTACGCATATACTCATTTTCAGGGGAAACGACAGTACCTGAGGGGGGACTTCCAAACTCGAAGATGATCACAACAAGAGCCTACCAGTCCACACGAAGAGAGCGCCGGTTACTCTTAGTGTCACCCAAATGTCGAAAAGCATCTCTACAAAGGATACTAGCATTCCAAAAAAGCGCTTATCGTAGTTGTATCTGGAAACGTGGAGTAATTTCAATGGTGCTATTTCGTACTACTACTACTTCTGCGATTTCACGAAAGTTTCCTCATCGACTAAGCCTTTAACTTCATGCGGCATCTGAAGAGGAACGAAATTGAGGTTGTATCCGCTTCACGTGAAATAACGTGACACTAAATATGGAGCATTGGATAACATACAAAACGTTATTCACTGCTCACATTTTTCACTAGTGTTTTTCATACAACGGATGAAACTCCAGTGAGCGGTTATCACCCTTACCTTAGTGCCAGCATTCTTCTTCAACTGCCTAAACTCGAGATACTCATCGATTGTGTTCTGAATGAGGACTGTACACAGCCAAGCACTTCGGAAAAAACCTGTTGCTGTTAGAAGGGACATCATCTATAAACCTAATGTGATGATCATACACCCAGGTTCGATCCCCGGTATCGACATCCAACACAAAACCCATACTCCTAAACAATTATGAAATGCAGTCCGCGTATTCTCCACTAGTGGAAACCACAGCTAATAAGCGATCTCCACTACAGTGACGACCATCGCTGCTACCTTAGGTCCATACCTGTTGCCTTATTACTACCCCTTAGGTATCGGTTGTCCCCTCCAACATACCCCTTGTTGATCTCCGAAAGTGTCACGGCTTACCACCCCGAGCTGCTTCTGGTGCTGACTCCTTCGTGCATCTGCATAACATACCCCTCCCCGCTCGGCAGCCAACTCAAACACAAATCCATCTAGCTACAACATTGACGACGATGATGGTGATGCACATGACATGTAGGGATATATTCAACACCAGCTTTACTCATCCATCTCTTCCTCACACTCCTCCTCCTCTTCCTCCTCCTGCTTAAGAGCTGAAAGCACACTACCTAGGACCAGACCCACATGCCCATCTACTACCAGCCATAGCTTCATCGCGTTCCTTCAAGGACTTGTCTACAACATCCAAAAGTTGCCTGTTGATTCGCATCTCTACTGGGGACATTTCGTACTTGGTGAGGACATTTTGACGCTCCCTAAGGTCGCCCTACTCCGAAAAGAGAAACCTACATTTTATTACTTATCCCTCATCTGCCTCTCCAAAAGCTTTCTGTGCTCAACATTAAATTCGCGTCGTTGTTGAGCACGCAAGGCTTCGTTTTCTCGATACCTGACGTCTTTGGATGCAGCGTCACGCGCCACAAAATTCCCACGCTTTAGTGTCGCTTTCTAAGATCTGAGCTTGCAGGTCCTTCAGCATCTGATTGTGTTTCTTACGAGATTCCCTCTCGGCCATTTGGTGGAATAGATACCTACCACAACTCATAAGCCAACGACCCAGGTTCGATCCCCGGGGCCTCCCAATACTCCTGCGTCTCCTGCCGGATCTCCCTTAGCCTCTCTTCCTTCAACCTCTCTCTCTCCTCAGCTCTAGCGTTGGCCTCAGCCAGCTGCCTATCCGCTCTGTCCTCCATCTCATTCGCCTTAGCATTCTGCTCCTTCACCACCTACATTCGTTCGATTGTCTTATTAAATATACGAATTCGAACAGGAGACTACAGGAACTAATGAAAATTATTTCCAAAATTTCCTCAGAAGTCACCAACATTTGCACATTTCCTCACACTGCCATCTACACTTGCTATCATCACCCACAACCTCGTTACCGTATCTTGCATAGTTTCCATCAGAGCTTTCTGTCGGGCAACACGAGCCTCTAGTTCATCCTTCCTAGCCTGACATCCATCCCACATAGAGTACTTCTCCTCCTCAAAAATATCTTCTATTACCTTTTCTTGCGCATCTAGTATCCTGTTGTACTCTGCCATACTCTCGATATCAAATTGAATTTGCCTCAGCCGCTCCTCCTCACGAATCTTCCTTTCCTTCACATTCTCCTTCATGATGGTCACCATAGCATCCTTCTGGGCCTGAGAGAACTCTCATGAGAAAAGGTACGAACCAGAGAGGAAAGAATATCTTAGGTTGCCCCTACAAAGATTCAAAATAGGTCCGTACCTGCTTCCTCTGGAGTATCTTCTTTTTCTCCAAAGCCATCTCTCTGGTGATCTTCGCCACCAGCTTAGCCTCCTCATTCCTACACCCCCAGCCTCCCAATACCACTCCATCATCAACTTCCCTCACCTGCGCTTCTCCTCTTCTCTCTCCTGCCTAGCCTTATCAAAGTTCATCTGCAGTTCCCTATCCTTTTGCTCCTACCAGCCAAACTCCATCTATTCCCAACCGAAACTGCTGCTGACCTTGATCGCTTTATCTCGTCTCTCCGCATTCACCTTGTCCTCGTACTTCTGCCATTCGTCGATTTCGATTAGCTGATTCTCCTTGAACCTGCAGAGGAATTGTCAACATGCCATACCACTCCATCGCTACTTCTTCTCCTCCTCCACCAGCTGAGCCTTGCGCGATCGAGACTCTCGCATCTACAACGGCAAGTCGATCAACGCCACAATGAAAATATCAACTCCTACTTGTCGTCTCAAATCCTCAGCCAGTCGTTTCTTCACCTCCAGCTCGTTCAACTTCTGTCGAATGCTGTCTTGCTCATGCAGATATCGCGAGTACCTGCACACCGAGAGGTCCCAGGTTCGATCCCTGCACCCGGCATTACTCATCCAGCCTACTCCAGTTATATCTCCTCTGCTCACCTCCCTCAATTGCCCGTCCATTTACACTCAGCCCCTCCTCATCTACGACCAACCCATCACCCACTTCACAGAGTAGTAGCCTCTACCTTCTGGAATCGCCTCCATCGTGTTGGTTGGTCTCTGAGGCCCCCTATAGCTGCTACCACCAGACCGCTGACTGTACGCACTAACCCCACTGACGACCGAAACCTGATCGAACTGCCAGTGGTAGACCTAATCCTATGCTCCTTCCTACTCCATCATCTCCCTTCAAAGCACCACAATCGACCTTTTTCTGAATTCGACGCTCAAGCCTATTGAGATTCGCCTCTGACATCATCACGATCAGCGCAGTATGAAAGATTCCATGTATTACCGGTAACGGGAATATTGGTGTTGTCCAGAAGCCTGTTAACCTCCTTTTTGATAATAGCACTTTTTTCACTACGACAATCGTCCTTGTCGGGGTCCTCATGAGTTGAGTGTTTCTTCTTCAACTTATTAACGATCAAGTCCTTCATCTCTTCACGCTTCTTAATAGCCAGCAGCTTCTCTCTGACCACACCTCACTTTCTGATGAAAAAACCGTCAAATGCCTCCTACCGTCTAGCTGGGGAGATCGCGGCAGAGATGGCTGGCTCGTCATCGGCCTTGGTGTTGGGTAGTTGCTTTGGAGGATAAGCCATAGTAGTTGAGCTAGAATGTGTGGAAGATCGCGAAGGAAATTGGCGAGATCTTGCGACCTTGATAAATCTTGCATTTCCTCAACGCATCACCGCGCGCGTTGTTCCATTTTTAACGTCAAGATGGTCGTCGAGTTCCAGCGGAAGCGTCAAGTGCCGTAAGTGTACCTGATGTGTATCTTGCATGCACAACCTCAAGATTCCTCTCAGTTTCTACACTACCGATATTCAGATTTCTATTGGGCATTCAGCCACATGTCCTCCACTACTGCAATATCACCACCTGAGGCCAGTCCAGAGGCTGACCGGGTCGGCTCGGGTAAAGAGGAGGGGGAGGAGCCGAAAGTGCTGCCTTGTCGAGTTACTTGCCGTGCTCCCAATGTTGAGATTGATCTGCATGCTAGGTAGTAGGGATGATGTACGTTTTCGGACCTATTTTGAATCTTGCACACCGACACCTAAGATATTTCATCCCATTCTAGAGGAGGGAATTTCTTCATGCTTTCCATTAGTGTATTCCGACGGCAAGGAGAGCTCACCAATTCGTCGTCATCATCATCATCCTGTTCATACGTCCCCGATGGGGCTGTGTTTTTCAATAGCCACTCAGCGTGTGATGGTAGTAATTCCCTCTCATACCATCTCTCAGAGAACTCGTCATCCATCTTAGGCGCTGTGACGTTGGACGAGTCCGATGGGGGTTCAATTCTACTCGACTGCAATAGGATAGAAAAAGACAGAGTGATTGTCATGTGTGGCAGTTGCTACAACAACGAGAACATTCTTGACGTAAGCATAGATGTGTGGTGCTACTTGTGATCCGGTCGATGATGCGGTTCAGTAGAGTTTCAAACACTAGTGAAAAATATATATTCCACGACTATTGCATATATCGCGTTTTTCACAGAGTGTTACGCCACTTCACGTAAAATGGGTGAAACTTCGTTGCGAGAAAACGAATGGTGGCGACACTATAAAAGTTATAGGGGTAGTTTAGGAGAAATCTTTATTTTTTTCTGTAGACATCTATCCGAACTCATGTACAAACTTCCATAGTTAGCTTTGGAAACTCCTGAGCTTAGCTGAGGAATGCGAACATATATTCCTACTCCAACACTGTATAGTAAAACTCCTGAGTTTAGCTGAGGAAAGCGAACATATATTCGTACTCCAGCACTGTATAGTAAAACTCCTGAGCTTAGCTGAGGAAAGCGAACATATATTCCTACTCCAACACTGTATAGGAAACTCCTGAGCTCAGCTGAGGAATGCGAACATATATTCCTACTCCAACACTGTATAGGAAACTCCTGAGCTCAGCTGAGGAATGCGAACATATATTCCTACTCCAACACTGATGTAGTTACCTGGACTGGAGTTCCTCATTAGAGCTGAAGTTGATGGCAGGGTCCTCTACCGGGCTACTAGTGATGATATATTTGAAAGAAAATTCGGAGCTAAACTGGCGGCTCAGGTGAAAAGGAACAGACAATCGGGTAATACGAACGGGAAGAACGGCTATGCGTTGACGGTCCCACCCGATGAATTTAGTAGTAGAAGTTGATAGCTTCGCATTATGGAGGGAGAATTGCTGTTACAGTAAAATTAGAGTTATTGTTACGATAGAATTTTCCCATATCTCAGCTGCCAGTTGAACGCCGTTAATATTCATCATATAGTATTTGAGCTTCGCCACCCGTTTTACGTTAAATGGCGTAATACTCTGTGAAAAAAGGCGATATTTACGACCTGTAGTAGTCGTAAAATATGTTTTTCACACCACTAGGGTGAAACTCCATGAAATATAAATACTTATAAGTAATGCTTAATAAGAGTTGTCGGACGCACGACAGAAGTCGGTATAAAAATCGACAAGAATAGATCTTGACAATCTTCTGATCATCATCACCGTGGCACAAGGCGAACAATGAGATTTTTACATCCGATGAATAATATATAATATTAATAACAATGGAGTTTCACCCTAGTGATATGAAAAACACTAGTGAAAAACATATTTCACGACTACTAGATAGCGCGAATATCGCGTTTTTTTATGGAGTATTACGCCACTTCGCGTAAAACGGGTGGTGAAACTCCAATATTATTATCAATAGATAATATAAAAGATGATGTCATCAGGTTTGCTCACCCAGCTGCCTACTACCTCAGTATCATCGACCTTCATGAGGCTTACGGACGGTGGTGGCTCGGTTCACTATCCTAGTGTTATCGTCGGCGTCTTTGTATTTGACAGGGGAGGTAGTCTTATTAGTTTGGTTACCCGTTCCGACTCAGCCGTTTTTATTCAGCTTGGCACTTTGTCCGAGTTGGGCAGACTTGCCAAGGTACTAACATGATATCGATGAAGGCCGACATAGCCTCGATACCGTCTAAGATTAGCAAGGAGAAGATAGACTCTCCAGGACTATCTGTAATCGCACTCCATGGTGTGGGTTAAGGAGCATTGTATGTACTTCGTGCTTCGACGTCGTATTCGGCAGTCGGGGAGGAGCCAGTTTTGTCACAGTGTGGGCATAGTTAACTACATGTGTTAGTGACAATATGAAATATACAATATAGTGAGAATGCTGAAGACTTCCAACCTCGTGTGTGAGTTTGCATACTTATAAAAAAAGTTTAATCAAAAAGTTAAAATCATTGAAAAACGTTGAAGTAGAAACGATTTAAAAAAGTCGTGGATTCAGCTGGAGGAAACGAATAGGCTTTGTCGCATAGTGGTTGGGTCTAACTCGAAGCCCAGGCTGATATACTCCGTTACATCATATCTAGACTCCAGTGCTTTGCTCGTGTGCGGCGAGAGCGCGGGAATTTTCGTTTTGAATTGGTAGAATGACAATTTGCTCTATTTTGATTTTCTCGCTGTTTTCAGTACTCGATATTTGATGCTAATGCGAATGGTCTGGGGACGACCGGCAGCGCACAGGATGCAGACGCTGTCTCGGGAGTCAAGGCCGACTCTAATGGGCCTCCAGCTAATAGAGTTTCTCAAGATGAGTAGTGTGGGAGTGGCAATTTGGGATAGTGGTATGCGTATCTGCTAGCTTGCGTGAGGTCGTTGGTTCGATTCCTAGTAGCAGCATGTGTATAAGTGCAGATTCCAACGTATCTCATACCACTCCTTTGCTTGCTCATCCAGATATGATGCCCTCGTTACCAAGTTCAGCGCGCTGGCGACTGCTCACAACAAGCTGCAAACTGAATACTCTACATTAGAGATTGAGGTATTAGCAAACTCACTTGTCCATCATCATCATTGTCTGTGTTTAGATTACTCATAGGGATGCTAAGATCGAACAGCTGACGAAAGAGTATAGGGCAATGGAGTCTCGGTAGGCCTGACATGACGCGTTGGGTTCTTTCTTCTTATCGAGTGTGATTTACTAGGATGACGTGTTGAAGGTATAGAGGAATGGCAATAATGTAGTATTACTATGTGTATCGCAATTTACTCGGGATGCCGTGATTCGAATGATGGTGTAATGTCTAGGTACGAGTCGGTTCTACATCAGTCACAATTGACTTCATCTGACTTTCGTATTCTCTTGGATCAGAATCTCG